TTCTGCGATTCATTCATCTTTGGAAGAATGGGAAAAATTGCATTGCAAAATATAACAAAGCATGCGTACAACACGCCCTTCAGAGCTGAGCTGTCGGATACGTTGGTGGATTCACTTAAGCTGCTGAAGGACAGAGTGCTCCTGGGAAAGCCCAGGCAATTGCAATGCGAACTCTTGCAGCCCACGTTCCTATTTACGGATGCTAGCTTTGATCAGGTCAAGGGAGCGGGGCTTGGAGCGGTTTTGATTTCAGGCGATGGCCACATCATTTCTTGGTTTGGAATTTGGGCCGAAGTTTCAGACTTGGCCGCCTTTTTGACAGACGGAAGACAGAATGCAATTGGAGAACTGGAAACCTTAGTAGTTGCCATGTCACTTATGGTTTGGAGCCAGTTGCTGAAATCGGCGCCGCTTATGGTCTACATCGACAATGAGGGTTCGAAATTTTCTTTGATCAAGGGCTATTCCAGCTCACCGTCCATAACTGCTATATGCGCGCTTGCAGCCACCTACCTGGACAGCTACTGTATCTTACCCTGGTTCAGCAGAGTTCCTTCTTCGTCAAACTTGGCTGACTTCCCCTCCAGGTTGATGGATCATCCTCTTTTAAGAAGAGAATTGAGAATCCCTGAGAGGGATGCCAGAGATGCCTTCAAAGGAAGCATGAGTTTCATCGAAATGGCAAAGACGCCACAATAAACATGGGTGGGGGCCGTGGCGAAAGCGGGCGGCGTGAATTCCCCATCATCTAAGAAGTAAAAAGAGTGCGCTGATCGTCCTGACTGGAGCGTGTGACCTGCGTTTTTTTTGATCCATCATTTTCATCAGCTGAGAGCAGTTTGGCGACGGAATGTTTATTTGCGGGATTTTCGGCGAGAGCGTTGTTTTATATGTATATATATATATACACAGAGATATATATATATATATGTTCTTTGATGTGTAAGTTTCGTCAATCTGTGCTGAGCACTGCGGAGACGACTTTTTGTTTGTGTGTTGCGTTTTTGTTTTGCTGCACGTTCGTTATCGATGTCCACGGTTTTTGGGTTTGGGAAAATAAGTTGCAACTCAGCGCGCTGATGAAACTTTATTTTCCCTCTCCCAAAAAAGAAGCTGAAAGCAGCTTCTAGTAGGACTCCCTCTTGCGTGGCGTGCGTCCTCTGCGTTCCCCTGCGCTGTGCATTTGGGTAGTGGTGACTTTGTGGTAGCTGCGGGTTCAACCAAGAGTGGTTTCTTGTTGTGTTTGTTCTGTTTCAAAAGTGAAACTTTTAATCTGCAGCTGCAACATGTCACTCTCATGTTTTTTACAGGTGAACAGAGGTTCAGCTTTGTTATTGCACACTGCGCAAGGATGACACACACAAACTGCAATCTGAAACGTGATATGTTCTGTCAACCATCCACTGAATTCTATATTGGTGTGGCCTCTTCGTTTCAAGTAAGCGCCTCCAAAGGGAGGGAGGGTGGGTCCACTTATTTAGTGGCGTGTTTTTCTCTTTTTGTGCCCCCCCCCACCCTGCACAGTAGTGGTGAGAGCACCACTTCTTCTCTTGGTTGACATGAACACTCACACAATGTGTTTCACAGAATACGTGTGGAAGGCCACTTTATAACGTATTCTTTCCTTTTTACTTACCCCCGAAAGCGGGCGGCGTGAATTCCCCATCATCTAAGAAGTAAAAAGAGTGCGCTGATCGTCCTGACTGGAGCGTGTGACCTGCGTTTTTTTTGATCCATCATTTTCATCAGCTGAGAGCAGTTTGGCGACGGAATGTTTATTTGCGGGATTTTCGGCGAGAGCGTTGTTTTTATATGTATATATATACAGAGATGTATATATATATATGTTCTTTGATGTGTAAGTTTCGTCAATCTGTGCTGAGCACTGCGGAGACGACTTTTTGTTTGTGTGTTGCGTTTTTGTTTTGCTGCACGTTCGTTATGGATGTCCACGGTTTTTGGGTTTGGGAAAATAAGTGCACTACCCTTCAGCTCTTTGTGATGCAATTGCATCATCCTTTGCAGCAGCATTTCTGCGTGTTGGTTTGAGGCCACAAAGTGCTCCTACTGGCAACTTGGCAGCGCGCGCTTTTGCGCAAAATCAACCGGCCTCAAACAAAGATGCATTTTTTTTGCCGGATTACAAACACAAATTTGTCAGGCTCATGCATAATGAAACTCAAATTTGGCCGTCAACTTCACTGGATTTCACTGCAACAAAGCTGCTGCATAGCCTTCAAGTGGGGGGAAATGACATGCAGCAGCTTGCTTTGGCCTTACAAACGCAATGCGTGCAATGGTTGTTTGAAGCAGTTTTTGAGAATTTGCCAGACCTGCCTTTTCCATGTCTGGTGACTTTGCAGATGTTTGGAAAAATGTGGAGCGAGGAGGAGTTTGTTTGCAGAGCCCTGGAGTCTAAACATCCTCTGGCAGTTGAAGACACTGTGCCATGGCCTTTGATCGAGGCAATTCAATTCAATTCGACTTCAAGCAAATATGAGATTGCCAAGCTGCGAACTGTTTTTCTTTCGAAATGGTCTTTGAGGGCCAAACAGTTGCACCAAGCTGAGATGAACTTGAAACAAACCATGGACCATGGACCCCGTCGTTGCCCGAGCAGTGCAGGCCAAACGCATACTCTTGTTTGAAGAGACGGTTACAGCGACAGGTTTTCCAGATCCTGGAGTGGTTGATGAGTTGCGCCATGGGGCAGACTTGGTGGGTGAAATCCCCGCCACAGGAATGCTGTCGGGTAAACTGACGCCGGCTTTGTCTACTTTGGATGAGCTGCGCAACAATGCCAGGAGGATCCGCAGGAAGGTGGAGCATGATGTTCAAAGCTCCGGTGATGCAGATGTTGACACTCAGGTTTGGCAGAAAACATTGAACGAAGTTGCTGAAGGTTGGTTGGTAGGCCCCCTTGAGAATGGTGATGTGCCACCTTGGCAATCCGTATCAAAGCGTTTTGGCTTGGTTCAAAAGAAAGGAAAGTTGCGTCTTATCGACGACTATACAGAGTGAAGGGTCAATTCTTGTGTCACTTCAGTGGGAAGCTCCAGTTTTACATACAGTTGACATTGCTTGTGCAGTCATGGTGCTTTGGTTTGAGGCTTGCGTGGAAGCAGGGATCTCCCCTGAACTTTTGGTAAGGACGTTTGATCTAAAAAGCGCTTACAGACAAGTGGGTCTGAGCTCATCCGGCAGAGATCATGCTTGCATTAGGGTGTTTGACCCTACTTCAGGCAAAGTCAAGTTTTTTCGCAGCAATGTTTTGCCGTTCGGATCAATTCGAAGTGTGCATTCATTCCTTCGTCTTTCGAGAGCCATTTGGTGGATTGGTGTTGTGGGGTACCGTTTGGTGTGGACCTCTTTCTACGACGACTTCATAGCCTACAGTCGTCCTAAACTTGCTGGTAATACGGATGCCACAGTTTCAACCTTGTTCAAGCTGCTTGGATGGGCCTTTGCTGAGTCAGGAGATAAATGTGTGCCTTTCTCCTCCAGCTGCGAAGCTTTGGGAGTCTCCTTTGACCTCAGTGCTTCCTCCAAGGGGTATGCTTCAATTTGCAACACTGCTGGCAGGGTGGACGAACTATGTGCTGATTTGGATAACGTTTTGCGTGAGGGAACTCTGAGCAGCAAACAAGCTCAGAGGCTCAGAGGGCGGATGCAGTTCGCAGACGCTCAACTCTTCGGCAGAACTGGAAAGAGGTGCCTCAAGTCTTTGAGTGATTTTTCTGAGGGTCGTCGTGTGAGACTGCAACCCAAAGATTGCCTGTTTTTGCGTTTGTTCTCCTCCCTCTTGAAGCAGAACGTACCAAGAGAAGTTCGTGCGCTTGATTCCTATAGCACCGTCTTCTTTACCGATGCTTGCTATGAAAGGGACAGCGCTGCCTGGCCTTGCGGAATTGGAGGCGTTTTCTTTTGCCAAAAGGAGGTGCAATACTTTTCTGTGCGGGTTGGCGCTTCAGTCAGGAAAGTCCTTGGCGAGTTACACAAAAGCAGATCATCTTCGAAGCCGAGACCCTAGCTGCAGTGGTAGCGTTTATGCTTTGGGTTCGTCGGTGTGAGAACAGGAGATGCATCATGTTTGTGGACAATGAGGGAACAAAATTCTCATTGTTGCGTGGCTTGTCAGACAACAGTGTCGTCGATTTTCTTGCAAAAAAGTTTGTCGAGATGGAAGCGTCCGTCCATGCTTTCACTTGGCTAGCCAGAGTTCCTTCAAGCTGCAATGTAGCAGATGCTCCCTCCAGAGGAGATGTCAGTGGTCGCTTGCTACGCGATGCAATGGATGTTTCTGCAGAAGCAGAAAAGCTGATGGAAACACTTGCGTCGCAGTTACTGAAATTGGGGAAGAGGGGCCGCGACGCATTCCCAGCTTCAAAAAAGATGAGAGTGTCTGCTGTGGTTGGAACATGGTTTGCAGAAGAAGTTTCTTGTCACTTGTGACAATCTTTTCTGAATGCAAATGCAGTGCGCCTGTACTGCAAATGTTCGCTCAAGTGGAGGGTTAGGGTGGGTTCACCGCTTCGTTTTGCTTGAAATGACCCACCATCCACCCCTAACACCACCATTCAATGTGCCTAGCCCTACAGCCTAAAGACGGGCTGCGACGCATTCCGAGCTTCAAAAAAGATGAGAGTGTTTGCTGTGGTTTGAACATGGTTTGCAGAAGGATTTCGGCATAATGGCATAATGATTTTGAAAAATTCAGCCAGAACCGGGGAAAACAACACAGAACAGTAGCAGCAACCATGATGCAATATCATATTTTTTGCTTGTATTTACCTTTCTACGACATCCAAAAAAAAATTGGCATATTTGTGCACATTTTCACCCTTGGTTCATGTACTGAAAATCCTGCAGGGAACAGGTTATATACAACCCATTTTGTTGAGTGAATTTGCGATCCCAAAATTTTGGAACAACATCCATAACCTCAACGTGACATCCAATGTTGACGGTTTTATTTTCGGGCTGATGATTTGTTGTTCAAGCGGCATCGGCCCGATGAACGCCAGGGCCAGGAGAAGACAAGGGCGATTTCGGGCATGTTGGGCATGTGTTTCCACATGTAGAATCGTACTCACGTGTCTCGGTTTGATGCAAAAAAATGTGATGTCAGTTGTTTTCAGTTGTTGTTTATTTTGTTTTGATGTTTTGTTTTGTCTCGTTGCTTTTGTGGAGGAGCAGATCGCCACGGCAAACTCAGCTGAGTTCTAAGGAGATTGCTCAGTTGATCTTTGCCCGAGAACAGGCGATGGCATGACAGACGAAATTTGTGATGCCACAAAACACGTGAATTTTGCAGACCTTATTTGTAATGATTGTAATGGGAGTGGTTCTTGTTTGTTTTTGCTCTTCACAATGTGCAATCAAGTGATGAAAAATGATGGAATTGTGTTCATGATGACCTGTGTATTTTGGTGCACGTGGTGCTTGTCGGTTGATTTTGATGCTTGACCGGCTCTACTTAAATTTCTGCAGATTTTTGCAGACGGATTCAGGCCCGGTTGGCAAAAGACTGGAGCCAAGCAGACAACCTCCGTTCGCAACTTCACGACGGGGGAGTGCTTTGGCCAAAGAAACATTCGACGATTGCTATGCTCTGTGATTCCAAATTCTGCTCGAGCATAGCTGCAATATGCTGCAAACTGGCCATATCAAGTAACGGTTGAAACATGTATCTTTGTTGAGCGGTGTTGACGCACGGATCGTCAAACCATGAAACCACCATGTGATTTAACCCTTCAAGATAAGAAAAACCACTGGTCAACCCATGAACGGGAAAAACTAAAGCGAAGAGAACCTATATTCCTATGTCATCCTGTGTCATTGCATACATTTGTTCAAAAAAAATAAACACTCAACTGCGAGTGGGAGGACTGATCAGTCAGGAGTCAGGATAGTGATGCCAGGTGCACATGCTGATGCATTCTTTGGATTGCTGGGGTTTGGTTATGTTGGATGTGTTGGATTTGAAGGAAACTTAGATATATAGATATCTTTGCGCCAAGGGTGAGTCGTTGGCTGGAAGAGCAACGACTTGGCTCGATGGTGAAACTGCGTGTGGTTTTGCCATTGCCCTGCTGCCATTTCCACGATTTTGCTCTACACCTGCCGAGGTGCAATTGTATGACAAGACTCGACTGTGGCTTGCGCTGCACTTGCTGCACTGTGGCTTGCGGTGCTTGTGTTCTGCACTTTGTGCTTTGCGTTAGATTCCGCTAAATGCAGGGTTTTCACGGGTGCAAGACACTGCACGACATGCAGAACTGCTGCTAAATTGCAGAACTGCGTTGGACCACGGTTCTGAGTTGCTTTTGAAGTCCTTTCGTTTTTGGGCCAAAAAATAGCTGGATGTATAGTGAGTATAGTGCCTTGCAATCGGGATAACATGCAACTATTCTGGAATGGACCGCAACGAGATTCTTGCAAAACATATTTGTTTCAAGTTTCAAGGTATTTCAAGATTTGCCAAAAAAAAAGGTTTGTCGCGGTTTTTGTAATGACTTGTGGCAGGTGTGTGGCTATTACATGTTAATATGATTAATATGTATATTTTCTTGGTTCCTGTTACAGATACGCGTTTGAGAACTTTGAAAGTGCAAAAATGCCGATGCCACGACTCACATTTCCGAATGACTTAGGAGACCTAGGAGACTGAGAGTCTGCCAGTGGTTCACTGATCAGATCATCAGTGGAATTTTCCAGTTCTTTGTGGAATTTTCCAGGTGGAAATGCTCGGATGGACGGAGCGGTCGAATCCCCACCTTCGATGAAGTGGAGGCAGGGGATGTGAGAAGCTTGAAGGCCACTGAAGGCCACTGAAGGCCACTGAAGGCCTGAAGCATCAAGATCGAAATAGATCGAAGGAACATGAAGGAAGGATATTTTTTTTCCTAATTATTATTAAATTATATGAAATTTGTATTATTGTATGGTGCTTCCAGTGCCTTTGAATAGATGTCTCCAGTATGACCATACGGCCTAAGAATATCACCATTGACAATCCTTGATGTCTTTGATGTATCATTCGTGAAGCAGGACACTGGTAGCGATTTTGGATATAGATCGTGTTCCCGTGTTCCCCGTGTTCGCCATGCAGCCGGTGTTCCTATTAATCCCGCTGCCAGGCTGGACAGGTAGAACCTGTCTACGAGGATGCAAAGGAAGAGGTGGACGGTAGCAAGGTGGCCCGGGGCTGCGGGAAACTGCAATCCGGCCGTGTTGAGAGAACCAAAGAGGTAGACAGACATGGTGGTAAGAGAAAGCGAATAGTAGAGAGATTAATGAAACAAAGAATGGCAAAGAGGTATGGTGCGTGATGCTATGGTGTGGTTTGTATGATATGAATTTATACGATTCATATATGATCCTGGTGCTGGGTGCACATTGAGCCTGGGATTTATGTGTCAAGTCAGCGACGCTTCAAATTGAGCTAGGAGGAGATTCAGAGCTTGGTCTTGCAGCGGGAGCAAGCGCGAGGAAGCAAGGCAGACAAAGCATGACAAAACCACAAGACTTTGTCAACAACTGGTTACTTCATTTCGTACTTCAATCCTCCTAGTACAGAGATGACTTGAGATGTCTTGTGGACATCCCAAAGTATTCCTGGCGATATTTGTCTGGCACAACTTTGGGAAGGACTTCCAGCAGGCAGATGCCATCCGATCCCAATTGCAGGACATTCGGCCATTCGGCTGGGTTTTTAGCACATCCAAATCCATTCTTTCCATTCTATCCATATCTATCCTATTGTGCATTCTATGTGCATTCTATGTGCATTCCATGGTACATTCCTGCCAGGACCTTGGAGTTGAACTCTTGGACAAGGAGAAACTGTGGAAATGTCCGGGAAACGCAGGGCAGAGCAGTTTTTTTTGTGAAGGAAAAGAAGCACTGGATGAATTGCGAGATGAGAAAATAATAGAAAACATGGAGAAAACATGGAGAATTCGATAAGTTCGAAAACTCCCAGCTTTTGTCGAAGATGTGAGTTTTGTCTCTGTCGAAGTATTCGAAGTGTTCAGGTCCCAGCAGAGGGTCCAAATCTCAGAGGGCAGGTCCTGGCGTAGCAGTTTGTGGTAGTAGCTAGTCTAGAGATATCTAGAGATGTCTAAAAATGTCTAGAGATGTCTAGAGTGCTTGCATCTTTCTATATTTTCTATATCTTTGTTGTCTACCTTTGTTGATTTCTTGAGGGTTTTGGATACCTCTTCGATGTCCACGTTTCTCATCATTGAATGAATTTGAAAGTCCTGCAGTGGGGCAGTTGATCAAAGTGACTGTATAGATTTGTATTAGTTTCTTTGTGACCCAGAGGAACTTATCTTTTGCTCTAGAGAGACACCAATGCGGAGGACATCGTTCGAATTGCAGAGCCTTTAGGTAACGTGGAAGGAGCACAATGTGCACACTAAGTGCAGTCCACACCATTCTCCGACTCCGAGTTTTCCATAGTTTTCCGAGTTTTCCGAGCTGACAGTGGCTGACAGTGGCTGAGGATGCAGGGCATCATCACTGGCTACCGCAGCAACGAGTGAACGACTCAGTCGTGGCAGAGGCCATGTCGTGGCCTGTCCTGAGATGTCCTGAGAGCCAAGGCTCAGCGATGTGGAGGTCCACACCTTGGTTATGCAAAGAGAAAAGTCGGGGTACCGAGAAGACCACAATAGAAATATCATAAATATATAGATTATATATTATAATATATAATTAATATATTATAATATATTATACTATATTATACATACTATTATCTTAATATTATATATGATAATATAGATGTGACATACAGGCAAACTGAGCAAGTTCTGCTGCTCAAAAGTGGCTGAAGAAACCGAAAGGTCAAAGACCGCTTATGCCCCCCTTTGGTTGATAGCTTTGCCAGTACATTCACTCTCAGAGACTACGGGTTACATAGCTTCCAGATTCCTGTTCGTTGCGCAGAAAGAATATGTATGTTCTACAGATTCTACAGCTTGTCCGTATTGGCATGTTTGATCTCATACTGTATTAATACTTGCTTCTTGAATCTTCTTGAGCATTTGGTCAAGGGCAAGAATGGGCAACGACTATGACTTGTCGGATATGATCCGCGATGTGTGATCCTCAGCAAATTTTTGGGAGAGATGCCTTTGGCCATGTCTTTCAATGTGTTTCAATGTCTTTCAATGTGTTTCAATGTGTTTCTGCTTCTGTGAATCCTGTTTTCAGTTCAAGTACTATAATGTTTCATGAGCTTCGCGTGCACCAACCCACGCTTTGCGTTCTAATGTTGCTGTGTTAACTTTCTTGACGTCCGTATAGGCGTTCCTGTTGTGCTTTTCTCTGTTCGCAAAAAAGATCAAAAAAAATCCGTGCACTTGTTAAAATTTGTTACTGTGCATGATCCTCAAAGAACACTTTAGGTGTAGACCTCCTCGACCATTTGCTTTATCGAGGGGTAAGACTTGAAAAGGGAATGTGAAGCCCAAGTGGATGTCATGCAGCGAGAATTCTAGGCCGATAGCCCATGGTCACAGCAGTTCTCTAGTTACTCTAGTTGATGGTTGAGAAAAGTTGAGAACTTCTCACGAGATATCACAAGTATCGAGAAACTCCGAGTTGCAGGAGCTCAAGAGCCGCGGTGTCACCATCGAGGACAAGCAGAAAGCAGGATCCCGAAGAACCGTGGATTTCAGAACGGACTTGCTGCAGTTTTTCAGCTGACCCACTTGACTTGTTTTAGACGCTGCAATTGGTGCACTTGTCCAAAAGTTGGTGTGTTTCGAATCGCGAAATAAGTCTGCCTTCAGCCGAGCCGAGGTGTGGAATTGTACAGATGGGCGGCGAGGTGCTGTTCCCAGCTGGGCTCAGATTACAGGTGCGCGGCGCCGTGTCGACATCCAAGTCGGCAACCGACAGCGCAGTTTGGATCACCAGAAGCCCGAGAATTTCAACAGACTAAGAAAATCATAGTAAGAATATAGTAAGAATATGTAAGAATATGTAAGAATATAACGTAAATATAACAATATCTATCACATATATCATATATATATATCATATATATCATATAATATAGGATGGGTGTTTTGCTAGTCCCAGACAAGTCCTCTTAGCAAGCCTTTGCAGAGGGATCAGATAATCCGTCCTTCAACAAAAATACCTGTCCTTTTTCCATTTTTTTCCACCAAAACTGGGCGTGAAGACCCGGTTGATTTCCCCCGTTGCGTGCTGTCTGTGTCTGTTGTGTCCTTGGTCGGGTCGTTGCAGGTGAGGTGCAGCCAGACGTGTAGGGGTGCTCAGCTGATTTCAGCTGAGATGCTGGCAGAGGACGACACACGATCCTTCGAGAAAACTTAAATGAAAAGGCTGAGCAAATAATCGGACATATACAGTATATATATATATATAGGAGGAAATTGGGTTCAACGACTTTTTACAAACCGAGAATGATATAGCCTTCTCAACGCAATGTTGTGGCGGTTCGTCATGATTCGCCTCTCCTTCGCCGAGGCGTCCGGTTCCTGCCATGCCGAGGCCACCAAAACTACATACTGTGCACATCTGTGCACCACATATCTCGACATCTCGACATCTCGACATATCTCGACATACCCCGCAACTGTGGCCACCGTGGCCACCGTAGCAACTGTTTCAACATGACTTTTTTCATCAAACTTGTGCAGCAGGTGTCGTTGTGTCACCGTTGTGTCACCATGACATGCTGCTACGACATGCCACGCCAGTTTTCATTTTGCACAGGCCTGGCATCATCCCTCAGGCGACTTGCTGACTTCGTCTCAAAATTCTCAACTGTGAAGCGTTCCGAAGTCTTGGGATTTTGTAAAGTAATGATTTTGGTGATATTTCGTTATTTAAAATTTATATAAATTTATAAGTGTTCATCATTGACCTATGACTTGTCACTTGGACCGACAGTGTTCCGTTGAGCAGACAGTCTGTAGCGCTTGATAGGCTCCTATGGTGCGGCAGCCCGCACGCCCGAGCATTGAGGTCCGTTGTCGGTTCAGTAGCGCAAACTTGACATCGGAACACTTCCATGAACAAAATACAGGCAAGGCCATGACAGCCATGGCAGCCATGGCAGCCATGAGTCAAACTGTTTGAAGATGCAGACACAGCACTGAGGATGAGCTGGTTTCATTGGCAGTGGCAGCTGCAAGACATCCGGCACGGGGTCCCAGATTAAATCATAGCTGCCGATGAAGCGGAACAAAAACGAAAATGACTTGATGTCAGTAGAACACTTGGAAGGAGAGCTGAGAGAGTGTGCAAATGACGGAAGAAGTTTTTGTTTGTTGTTTTTTTGATTCACAAGAACTTCAGACTACGTCAAGACTTCCAATGCTTCCAAGTTCAAATTTGCAGATGCCAAACTGTACAGGACACTGCCACACGAGCCTTACAAGCCCTGCGGCAGGCGCCGCTTTGTGCCGGGCATGATGTGTGTAATGTCCATGTCTGCCACTACAAAGTATGTACTAGGTATGTACAAAGTATCGCTTGAGACAATGCTCCGCACCAGGTCTTTGCTGGTGGGGCTGGGAGCCAAGAGTCCCAAGAGTGCCATACCTGAACCTGGAAGGACCAGGAACGCCATCGACAATGGCAACGACATTCATCTTGAAAGAAGCATTGCACACTCATGTGGAAACCATGTGGAAACCATGTGGAAACCATGTGGAAACCCATGTTCGGCCTAGGCCATAGCACCAATGGCTGTGGCACAACCAGTGCTAGGGCTGCCTGCAGCACCGCGCATTCAAAAGGCTTGTTGTGAATTGAAAAGCTCCATGCTTGTTCTTGCACCAGTCCCGGCATATAAGGTGCCATCACATTTCTTGGTTGGTAGTTGCAACTGGATGCAGCACATCACCAGAATGATGAAAAATCAACAGGTTCAGTTGAGCCTAGACAGATCTCATTCGATCCTTACGGTTCAGTGTGCCGTAGCCCCGACAGGCCCCATCAAGCAGGAGCCAAGCTCGGTCCAGTCGAGAGTACAGTTGTACTTTAGTTGATCTCGAAAAAACTTGAAAATTAATTGCAGCGGCTTGATTGTCACATATACTTTTTCTATCTTTTTTTTCAGACGAAAAGGTTGGGAGTTGCCAGTTTCGATGCGGACTTCTCCTTCCATTATTGGCTTGAATATGCACGATGCATCACTATGCCTTATGAAGCTTAAGATGACCAAAGTGTTACTCGAGAAGGATGTCAATGGGTGAATTCTTGATAATTCTTGCCAGCCCTATCCTTCTTGCTTATTTTTGTATTCGCACCTTAGATCGCTTTTCAGTTCAGAAGTTTTTGCCATGGGCACAGGCCAGAGGGACTTCCAGACTTTAACAAGGCCTGAACTTGTGCAGTGTCTCAAGATGGAGCTGCCTTGAATTTGTGGAGACCGTGACGCAGTGCTCAACCTGTTGGATTAAGTTTTTGAAATCGCAGCCGAGACACGAATTGACACTGAACAGTTATTGAACAGTTACTGAACAGTTGCTGTTGCTCGACCTTACTGAAACTCTATTCTGTTGCTGCTCTGACGTTTCGCAAACCATGCCGCTTGAGGCCATGCAAGCCATTCGACGGATCAAGGATGGGCTCGCTGTGAAGCATTGTCAAACATGGTGAAAAAACGTTGAAAAGGACGAAAGACTTGTGTTGAACTCGTTTGAACTCATTTGAAGACTTTGTGCGGGTCATCCCCCACAAAGGGAAACAAAGGGCAAGGAGAGAGCAAAGGAAGATGGACTTGTGGAACTGTTCTCGTGTTGAGCAGCTCGGCGCATCTTTCGAGACTGTCAACCCTTGAAGGTTGATTTTCGCATAGTTTTGCATGCCACATGTCAAAACATGATACATATTGATACATATTGATACTTTTGATACATATCAATATACATCATGATGCAACCTCACATGACATGCAACTGCATCGGAGCCAGGATGGCCACCGGGTCTCTGATGAAGAGATCGAATGGCCTTCCTCTCAGTCGGAAAAATGGCACCAGGGGAAAGGTGGTGAATGATACGCCCAGCCCAGAGGGCGTTGCTCTTGTTTCGATTGTTTCCGCGATATTCCATGAGGAGGAAATACTGTAGCAACTCGCAATTGGTGAAATGATGTGAAATGATGTGAAATTGTCTCGAAAGTAGCAGTGGCATACAGTGTCACAGTGGCATACAGTGTCGTATAGTGTCGTATGTTTATTTGGTTAAAGTCGGTGATTGAGTTCTGAGGAGTGAGAATGCTCGGTGAGAATGCAGAAAAGAGTGGTTGATCCACAAAGGAAATATATTATTCAGAGATATTCACAGAACATGCGTCGTAGCTATTCTGACTATTTCCTTTTGCGGGGGGAGTCGTGTGTAGACAGAACGTATGGTCCAGCGCCTCTTTGGGTGATAACATTTATGCAGTCCCCAGCGATTTGGAGAGGACGCGAAATGCAACATGAAGCATGAATCACAATGAATCATAATGAATCATAATGAATCGTAATGAATCAAATGAATCAAATGAATCATAACGAATCATAACGATTCATAATGATATGGTTGGGAGGTGAAGTTGCTTGGGAACGGTTGTAGCCATGTAGGAGAGAGTTTCATCTCCTCTGCGGAACAAACAGTTGGGTCAGAGTGATTGGTGAGCCGCCTGTGAGGCTTGTCGCTACGCGTGAGCGGTTTCGAATGACGAAGGTGTGACCGGAGACAAAGCTGGTGAAACGGAAATCAGTGAAGATGTTGCAGTCCCAAGATGGCAAGATAGTGGAGGAAATAAAGATAGATAAAGATAGATAAAGATAGATAAAGATAGATAAAGATAGATAAAGGAGAAACATCAGGGGCAGGAAAAGAAGCAAAGTCGACGGAAAACAAAGTGAAGAATGTCCAAAGATGTCAAAGCTGCTAACATATCCTGTGGATTGCCCAAATGTCACGGGGGCAATGGAAGATCCTCTCAGCATGTAAGGACTACGCCAACTCAGATGAACTGAGGAAAGCATTGTTGCACGGTTGCTCAGATTCAGAGGACGAACAAGATTCACAGAAACATAAATAAACTTATTGAATAAACCGTATCCATAGCGATGCAAAAGTTTCACAATTTCCTGGCAAACTAGAAGTGCATGTGCTGTCTTCTTTGGACTCGACTCTGACGCAACAGTGCCACCATTGCTGTGAGTGTTCCCTCTTTATGTTGGTTTGGACGGTATCTACTCTTGCTTCTGTGTAAACTTGGAAAGATAGAACTACTGTCTTTGGACTTTCTACAAAGGCTCAAACTTTGCGTAGTCACCAGGTTCCTTTCAGTTCAGGTCAGTGGGCATTGAACTCTTGGAGAAAGAGAAGAGATGGACCTTCGAGGCTGGCAGAGCGCAAAACAGGTACGATTTAGGCAAAAAATGACTAAGTACTAGAAGATACTCGAATTCTCCAATATGTTTGTTTCATTTTGTTTCCTATTTAAAGATAATAAATGATAATAACAAATAAGACGTGCAAATTGCGACCCTTTGGATTTTGGACTCGGAGGATGGACGCTCTGGGAACATTCCTCTCTGGAGTAATATTGCCCAATGAGCCGCTATGAACCGGCGACGCGACCGAGACGATGGCAGCTGTGTGCAAACAAGGAAAAAGAGCTACATGGATCTATGTGCATGGTGAGGGCATGGTGCAGGGGTGCAAGTCGGGACTTCACGTGGTTGGAGTACAGGTTGGAGTACACAGATGTGACTTTGTAGTTGAAACTTGGAACATGTTCAGACAGCTGTAGTGCCAACAGATATAGCATCTGGATGTATTTGGGATCCCTGACCCAAAGGGAATCAAAGACAACCTTTTTTTTTCCCAGGCAGCAACATCATAATATGAGTGCTGTGAGTACTGAGTAGTATATCACTATATGTTCAATATTGTTCAATCCTCCAAACAGCTTTGGGCTTCCGTGTTTCGCCCGCAGATGTTTTGGATTGAGAAAAGGAAATACGGAACGGATCTACCGGATCTACCTTAAATGGCTGACATCTATGAAGCCACTTACGCCGACAAAGTCAATCCCCCCAAAAAATATTTTCACACCGTGCAGCAGTGTAGCTGTGTAAAGCTGTGGCTTTGAGCTGTTTCTGGCACTCTCTGGCACTCTCTGGCACTCTCTGGCACTCTTGACTGAGAAGATACAAGCCTAGTCGCCAACTTTCAGAAATGCTTCGGCTATGCCCAGCTGTGCTGCGCTTCAGAGGCTCAAGGGAAGGATATTTTGATATATTTTGTTTTGAGTTTTGAGCAAGTTGAAATAAGTTGAAATAAGTTGAATCTAGATTTTCAGAATATTTAAAGACTGTGGAGACATTTGTGTCATTTTGCCACCATTGTTGACTCGAGAAAGGAAAACGGAGCCGTGAAGGCAACTGAAGCAGAAGCTATAAACGAGACCGAGACCCGAGGTACCGAGGTAAACCGAGGTGTTTAGCAAAGGGACTTTCCAAAACTTTCCAAAGGTACAGATGGATAACAGATTAAAAAAGTCATGAAAAAAGTCTTTCTTTGCAAAGTCCCTTTTAAATATCGAAGCAAGCCTCAGGCCACATGTCTCGTGGCTATGCGAAAAAGGTGGCGGGGCATTGTACAGCCGGAGAGACCGGTTCTAAACTCCATGGAATGTGCATCGAAAACTCCGAAATATCAGACTAGATCTCATCATATCTCACCTGTTCAGCTCGAAGCTGAATGACCAACTACGAAAGTCCAACTCCTTAGATATTTTGCATCATTTTGCATCATTTTGCATCATTTTGCGTCTAGTCTCAGTTGCAACTTTGATTCGCAACATCTCCGCAGCTCCGTCGCCTTATTCTTTCACGAATTCATTTCCTTGTAAATGTCTTCAGCACTCTGGGTACTATGATACGCATGATAGCTATGGAAACATATGGAAACATGTCCGCACGTTAGTGAAGGGGTGCGTCTGACATGTCTCACACCACACATGTGCGGACATGGACATGTCAAAGACGCTGCACACTGTCGTTACTTCATGTCGAGCTGGATTCCGACTAGACATTTTCAAATGTTAGCTTGAAAACTCAGGAGTATCATTGTGGCAGAACATGCACATTGAACGATTCACTAAGGCACAAAGACGAAAGACAAGACATAAAGAACACATGGGGACCCCGAAACAAAGCTGTAGCAATTTGCACTCGGCGGTTCGGTGCGTACACGTTTCTCAGGGATATGGAAGATGACTTTCTTTGCGAGAGTATGCTTGATTTGTGAAATCATGATTGTGTCCTTGCCGTTCTTTGTTCTTCGTTGTTACTAGATGTGGCATTGTGACAAGTACTGTACTACTGTACTATGCGTGGAGTCACATTGACCTGCGGGTTTTGCTGAGGCAAGAGAGCAGCAAGCCGACTCGGATCCACCTATTTGGCTGCCGGAGACTCAGCTCGCGATGACCCTGTCGTTGACCGGGTTCTCGGAAGAGTTTCCACAATGTGCAAAGATGTGCAAAGATGTGCAAAGATTCTTGGTTTTGCAAGGAAACATTTGCACCACAGCAGTGTCGCAAAGGTGTCGTCGTTTTGCTGCACCGAGGCCTCACCATTTGCTTCCGTCGAAGACCAAGTTTGAAACATTTAACGAAGAACACGAAGAACACGAGTCGAACTTGTCCGAGGTGGGGCTCACCCGTCTTCTACATTGCACTGGTGCTGGCATGGAATCCTGGACGGAGCTTTTTGGAGTGGAGCTTTCTGTGCAAAAAGAGATGCTGAGTATCCTGTAGTAACCTGTTGGTTCCCTAATGTTCCCTATGTTCCCTCACCTAGGTGCCTTTGTTGTGCATCTACAATGAGATGCAGGCCTGCTGTGAGCGTATGTGAGCTTAAACTCAGCATGTCGCACAGAACAAGTTGCCTGTGAACACAATGGAGGACAAGAAGCTTGAGGTGTTGAACCAAGAGATGCGACAGGACCTTCGAACATTGGGCCTGACAGGTTTGACCCTGTTCGTCAAGTTTTCTTGGATGCCACATGCAAGGTTTTGCCATCGCGCTGCCAGAAAATTCAAACACATGAGATTTATATTCCCTGAGAGCGACGTGAATATATGGTCAAAACGGTGCATTTTTCCAGATTTTTGTGATTTTCATGACTCGCCAGAATTACATGAAATGCCGTGTGCTTTTCACTAATGTCAGTTCGTGAAGGAGCGATTGAAACGTCGCGCAGAACGGGAACAGCACTCCGAATGATCGCGGAGAAAATAGCACGGGATGCAGCTGGTCATGCGAATTTCTTTTGTTTTCGCAGTTGCAGAGTCAGCAAAGTCATCGAAACACCACCAGTGCTCATTGGATGTTAGACATTTTGTATCATTTTGTTATATGTTTCTGACAGAATACCTATATCCTTTCTTCATTGCTCCTCTGCTCACAAGTACCTGCTTATTTGATCTTGTTTGATCTGATTTGTGATATTTGTGCACGGTGATATTGTACAAAGTGCGCCTCGAAATCTTCGCCGCTTGGGCTCAGCTTGGCCTGATCTTTGCGGTGCTGTGAAGGTGTGGTGCACATCAACACAAAGATCACAATTCCTCATGGCTTTTCGCATTTTTCGCATGGTCAGAGTTGGCTCCTGGCTGTTTGCCTTGCAGGTACCATGAAACGTGTGTACCCCAATCAGGTGAGGCTCTAAGCGAAGAACGATTCCAACTGAAACAACTCACAGAACTGCAGCGATTCATAGCACTTCCATGCGCTTCCAGGGTTTCCCAATGGTTTCCACATGTTTCCACGGGACATGCCACTGACGGGAGCGTTCTGAGGTGGTCCCCGCAGATGCTGCGGCCAGGAAGCTCTTTAACGGAGATGATTTGGGGCTTACTTTCTACACGCAGCTTGGCATTGCTTGGCATTGCGCATTGCTTGGCATTGCGCATTGCTTGGCATTGCTTGGCATAATCTCTGTTCTTTTTTTGTGAAAACAGCAATTTGGTCTTGGATGGGGGCATTGCACACTGCACATTCTGTATCTATGATTTACACATCGATTTAAGTGTATTAACTCATCTATCAAGCCTTGCAGTGAAGGGTAGTGTGACATCGTGGCAGTGAATGTAGTGACTGTAGTGAGGATACCCCGACAGTCACATGAGATACGGGTTTTGGACTTGGACGATTTGGACGATTTGGACGATTTGGACGATTTGGACGATTTGGACACGTGAAGTCACCGTGAAGTACGTGATACGAATTCTCCAAGGCACCCGCCGAATGTTCCCGACTGAGTTTGGGCTGGGCGGCTGCAGCAGCTAAGCATCAGCTAAGCATCAGCTGTCATTGGCTCCTTGTTTCAAGGCAGAGGTCAGTGTCCGACAATTCGAGGTGGGCTCGTCATTTGTTCACGGGGCATTGCGAGCATCAGATTTCGATGGTTCAGCAATCCGGCACTGGCTGGGATGATGTCCCTCAGATGAAGGTGTTGAGTGATTCAGAATTTCGTCCATTTTGAGTATTCCAAGACTTTCTTTTCATTTCTTTTCGGACTTTTTCTAATGCTGGCAACATGTGGCAACGGCCATACCAATGGCCATACCAATGGCCATACCAACGACCATCAGATCATCAACGGTCGAAACCGATGGCATCGGACGATCTACACGGCCATACCAAAATTACCAACAAGATCCAATAAGAACGATCTAAACTAAGTTTACTGAATCTAAAATAATCTAAACAGATTTGGAAGGACTTCACGGCAAGCCGCCTGAAGCTTCTCCATGCCATCGACCGGGCCTGTAACAGTGGGGTGACCTGGAACCGTTGACCACCGACCACCGTTGACCGGGGTTTCCTCTCAGTGAACTCAGTGAACTGCTTCGGCAATTGTCACAGCTTGCCTCTCGTGTCCAAAACATGGTTCAATACACAGTCAGCTAGTAGCAGCTAGCAGCAGCTAGCAGCAGCTAGCAGCAGCTAGCAGCTAGTGTTCGGGAATTTAAACAGAATTGTGATTGGTGTCAATGTTTTTACATGTTTTCATCAGAGGTTTTCTCGATTTTCCTGTCCTTTTTGCCCTTGGGATGCCCTGGTCATTCTCAGATCATAACCCAAGGTCAGGAATTGCGGTTAGAGGCGATGAAAGAGATCAGGTGGGGGATGGGGACGGAACGAAATGGAAAGGATCGATAGGATCGAACATAGCTGCGGTCCAAAGTTCTGGTTCTTCCCTTGCTCAGACCGAAATTGGCGAGAGAATTTCGAGATTCCGGCCTCGAGCTAGGCACGGCCAATTGAAAAAAAAAAGATCTCTTCACTGATCTTCCAAGCCTGGCGGAGGAAACACCAAGGAAACCTTGTCATACGACTTCACGAGATAGTGTGACAATGTGTGACACTTCACGTGACACTTCATGTGACACTTCATGTGACACCATACTGACACCATGACATCTGAGGCTATCCGGAGACGCCAGGGAAGACTCAGAGCTTCCGCATAGACAAACTCGACTTCCAAGGCAGGATGGCACCGGCCTCTCTGTTTCGAACTCAATTTGAGATAGGCTGGCAAAAGACGCAAAAGATGTAAAAGCAACAATAGGCCTTTTATTTTTTTCGATCTATTTTTCATCTCTGGTAAAAGCAACAGACATTTACTCTTGATTCAACTGCCTAAATTACTTTTGCGAGCTTGAACGCGAAACACCAAGGAAAAGCACTACTTGCTTTCTGGTCCGTTGAAATTTCCAAGACAGCGCTGTCATGGCATTCAACATCATTCGACCAGGTAGAGACAACATCTCTCATTTCGCTCTCCGTTTGGCCTTCTGCAAGAATCGCGACGTTTCTCGGCACCCTTTGAGGTATCGTACACACACACACATGCACATGCAGCAGATGCATATTTTAGCTACACCTAATTGTTTAAGAGCTATTTTGAGCTCTCCACACTGCAGGACTCACTCGAAATATTTGAGACATTTGAGACCTTTCACATTTTTTTATGATGTTTTTTCACGATTTTCCGACTTCTTTTTGGACTTTGGATGACTCTTGTCACTGATGTCACTGCCAGTTCTCACAGATCACTGAAACCAAGGCACGAGAGTGGTTCCTGCGACAAGAGCAACGACTCTTTGTGCTACGCTTTGAGGCGCTGGAGTGGGGAGCTTTACATTAATCTCGATATGCAGAGTGGGAACCGGGTAACTGGGGATATAGCATGACACATAGTTTTTTTCGAAAACGTTTTCGAAATTTTCATGTTTTTTTGTTCTGACTGTTTTCACATCTGCGGAGGCGCTGAGTCCAGAGGCTAGGGAGGCGCAGTCCTTCGAAGCTGTTTCTGGACAGTTTCAAATTTGGAACTTAAAACATTTTTGAACATTTTTGAACATTTTTGAACAGGATATTCATAGAGTCATTCTGTCACATTTGTTTCGTGTTTTGGAAAGGAATCAGGATATTGTAGATTGATAAACATATGTAAAAGGAAATGGTTGATAGTTTGGACATGTTTGGAATCTTGTGGGGGAGTACGAAACGGATTTGCATTGGATTCATCAGATATTATTGGGCATGGAGTATGCATCTGTGTCTGCCGCACTCTCGCGCAGACCTTCGTGGAGTCCGTGGGTTTGGAGTGCACCAGGCGACTGGGTCGAGACGCCCGGTGGATGCCTATGGCTGCTGGGTTTTGCTGTTCTGTTGATGAAGTTGTATCATCGGGGCTACTGAACCCTTGCTGAAGTATATGAACAATTACATTAGTAGCAGCAAAGGACTGGATCATGATGAGCTCTATGGAAATCAAATAAAGTACATTGAAGCCTTTCGAATGATTCGAATGTGCAAGAGAACCTTTAAAAAGGGACCGTTTTCGGCAATTCCTTTCTTGGAGATCTATCTCTTGCTAAGGATTTCCAAAGGATTTCAAGACCTGAACAGGTCTCAAATTATGCCAGGTACATAGCCGCTTAGCCGAATCGGGAAGAACCCATGAACGGGAACTTTTTATTGACATATCATAAGAATCAATCATAACTGAATCATAACATATCCTTTCGAATGTGCTGATAGCACTGATAGCTGTCCTTTCGTGGCTTTGGAAGGTTTCAAGATGGCGACTATGAGATGATTTCACTCAAGAAGCTCCAAGCAACCACTCCTGGGGTGCGCCAGGGGGCGCCACAGAATCCTGTGTTGTAATCTGTCGTTGAGTTGATGGATGCTGTCTGTCTGCAATCACAGCAACCATTGCAGACTCAGCTAGAATGAATTCACTATGGCCTTGATCACCGCAAAAGCATGTGTTTATCACAACAGGAAAATCCCGCGCCTGAGTTACAAATTGTAGGGATCAACCCTGGTTCAAGTTATCCTGCTATGCTACCAAGCTTTTCATTTCCCACTACATCATCCAAGCATTTTGGCAACTTTGAAATCCACAGGCCCGAATCTGGGTTGAGGGATCGTCGCAGCCTGAGAAAATGGGCATGCAGCAAGTAAGACTTCAGCGCAACTACTCACAAACCGAGAGAGGAACTATGAAGAACCGCTCTTTTCTTCGCATTTTTTTGGCCCTTTCATTTTCTATTGGTTTGCTAGCCGTGCTTCTAGAGTCCTAGAGTCCTTTCTTTGGCTGTAGTGCATGGATGGTACTTTGTGGGGCACTTTTGAACGACTTGGCTGTCACTCCCAAAAAGAGTGTATGGCTTTCATCACACTGCCCTGACACCACCAGAATCATGGCAGGTTGGATTCGTGAAATCTCTTGAAATCTCTTTCCTTCATTGCTTATCAAAGGTAGCACCAAGCTACCTGAGTTCTCCCTTTCCTTTTGTTTGGGTCATTTTGGGTCGCCGGCTAAGTGCCTTGGGCCTTGGGGGCCGTTTGGAGGCCGTTTGGAGGCCGTTATATGCCATTATGTCTTGGTTTTAGTCTCCACACCTGGGTAGGGTTGAAAAGCAGTGCGCGTAATATCGTGTGATTTTTTTTTGCGATGTAACATCCGAGCTACAACGGTGCCTGCTTTGTTTACATGCTCTGTTTCTTGATATTCGTTGGCAAAAAATGGGAAACAATGGCTTTGATATCAAAACAATTCCAAACAAACATCGGTCGAGCGCCTCAATGCAAAAACAAGGTCACACGGATTTGCGAAACCCTGCGCAGCATTCACTAACTATGCAAGGGCAAGTGAACTTCAAACAGCGTAGTATCAAATATATCAAATGAGATCAAATGAGCGTGCAAGCGCAATGGAACGTTATTAGCCCGCCTCACCCAACCCCACCCCACCCCAGATGACAAGCACCTTTGCTTTTGTTTGAGTGTAACGACAGGGCAGACATGCAGAGCGCAAACAGCAAACATATATATTACAAGAATTACAAACCAAGAAACATGGACTACTTTTGAAAGTACTTTCAGGCCACCTCTCTGCAGCCACCACTTTGGGTTGCGGACACATGTCTCAAAGACATACCAACTGAACAAATCAAAGCGCTCCCAGCATCTCCCAGCTTTCGTGTTCCCTGGCATCCTCTCAAGTCTATAGATTTATCATGATTTATCCTATCGAGTCTATGAGATTTGCGGAGTGGCATGCATTCCAGAAGTTCAAACACAGCTCTGAGACATTTGGACATTTGAGTTTGCTTTTTCTCTAAAATTTGCCAGCTCTCCTGATTTAGCTTGGTACCTGAGGAGAGTGCCGCAGTATGAGCTCAATTTTTATGTGATGCCCTTTCGGGAGGCTGGTCTCAGCCTTGCCGTGTTCCACCAGCTCTAAGGTTTGTTTCTGGCAATTGCTCGTGGATATGAAAATCTGCAGCGTTTGAGAAGTTAAACACTGAATTACAAATTTGGCATTTTGCCATTTTGTCCATGCGCCACTTCTCTGGCTTGGTCCTGTCAGCTTTCTATGTCTGCGTTTTTCCTTCATTTTTCGTGAAAAGATTGTAGCGGGAAGTAAGCGACATTCGCCGTTACACCGTTACAGGTGCCCGAAAGGCTGATTTCTGGTCGCCGAGTAGTCTTGCACCGCGGAAAGGCCAAGTCACTTCGTAAAATCCTTTTAAGACTTTCGTCATTTTTCCACTTGGCTGTTTGCCGATGCAGTTCATCATGTTAAAACATCATTTTGAACATCATTTTTTTCATTTTACGTTTTCATCATGTTGTCGTGCGTTGCTAGGCCTTCGTGCCTGCGAGCTTGCTAAAACTCGTCATCACCCGGCGATTCAAGGCCTGTTGAAGCGATGCAGATCAGCTTGTCTCGTGGATATTTCACAGGATCACATTTCACATTTGACTCACAGCTGTCAGTAGCTTGTACTCAAGTTTCAAATATTTCAAACTGAGACTGTGAGCACTTCAGCCCTCTCTTGTTTGTCTTTATTGCCAATGCAGGAGAGTTTGTCTGCTGCCTTGGACGTTGCTTTCCAAGGCCTGTGGAATGACTTTCCATCACTATGCATCGCTTTGTCAAATCTTTCATCACTTACATCTTTATTTGTAATGAAATTGACAGATGTCATGATTGTCATATGATTGTCATATGTTGTCATGTTTCTTTTTTCCATCCGGTTTTCTATCTGTTTTCACGGTTGACGGATGTTGACGGTCTGTGATGCCTTGGTTTCTTGTGCTGCGCCGAGGCCAACATGTGGCGATGATAGATCCCCGCGTGGGCGGATTCCTTCGTGTCTTGCAGGCCCGGGCGAACCCGGGCGAACCCGGGCGAACCTCATCGAGCCGAGCTCGGTGTCGGTTTCACACAGAAAAATTCACAAACTTCACAGGCAGAGCTCGTGATTTCAGCAGGTTAGGAGCAACTGGACTCTTGTTCCAACTGGATCTTCCACCTTCCCCCTTGATCCCCGTTGATCCCCGTTGATCCCCATTGATCCCCTTGCACGTGCTCACGTGCCAGGAGCATGGTATGGAGCTGGTGGCACCGCGGTCATCCTCAGAGGTGCCCGGTAAAGTTCCCAGTGTGACCTGGAATCTTTGACTATTCGGACTATTCTATCTGTTCTTTGGTTAAGGAATTTTAAGGAATTTGTCAAAAGTCTTTGTCAAAAGTCTTTCACTATCTTTGCCTCTTGCGGACTTCTAGCTCTGAAATCGACAAGACTTGAGGTAGCCTAACCTCAATGTTGCTGGGCACAAATCCCCAAATAGTTTCAAAGCGGTTCCCAAATGCAGATCATCCTTGACATCGAAATGTGACTTTCGAGAAAAACTGAGATTCAACTTCACTTTGTTTCTGTTTTGTTTGAAAGATATTTTCGGTCAACGGTCAAATATGGTTTACTAAGATTTTAAAAGATCTAATAAGCATTTAACCAAGAAATGTTTTGACCTTTTTTTTTGTTGCTCTGTTCTGTTGCATAGTTCCGATTCGTTTCTCTCTCAGGAGCTCTCTGAGAAGTTGTCGCTGGGGAACTTCGAGCAGCTCCTGTCCCGCGTGGACGCCCAGAACGACCCAAAGTACGGCACAACCCAGAGGTTTAAATCGATTTAACGTGATTTGATCATGATATAAGTCATGAGTACTGTATATATGTACATATATATATAAATACAATTAAATACACATGGTATACCGGTATACCAATAATTATATGATATTGTATGTATATATATATTATACATATGTTACATAAGTAGGTCTAGATCTGTCAGAGCTTCTAAGGATTGACCGCATATCACGGCAATGCATGACTAGTGGTACATTTCAGCATTGATTTTCCTTCCATTTTTGAGCTATTTCAGCAATCATCGTTCCTTTAAATCATCCTGACATCCTGATGACCATCGTCATTATGTGGGAGGGTTTTCCATTTTTTCTATTTGTGCCTCCAGAAAGTGACATCACCATTCACAGTTGGGAGGCTCCTTCCCTCCGTGCATGCGGCGGTTGGTGGAGAAGCAGCTTCTGGGACACAACAGACAAAGACATTTCTGTTTTTCTCCATTGAATCATTGACATCTGAGCCTGTCAGAGGCGTGAGACCAAGAAGCACTTGAAGCACGCTGGAAGGCCCTGACAACGAAAACGTAGACCTCCGCCATCCTGCACTGTGCCTCAACACATTCCTCACACTTTGAAACCCTTGCTTGGTTATGATGTATATATATATATAGCTTATAATATGAGACAAATACTTGTACCAGTTAATTCAAGACAGGCACTGAAGCAACAAGAATGTAGTCCAGAAATTCCGGAAGTATTGAGCTATCTGAGGGGTATGTTCTATGGCCTTTGCCCATGGAGTTGTGCAGGTTGCAGCTGCGGCCTTTCCTCAAGGACAGCTGCATCACGGGTGGCAGGGTGACGAATGTGGAACAAGGAAATCGAAGAAACCCAGATGTGCAGTGATGCAACATCTACATCTACATACATCTACAAGATTGTTACAAGATTGTTAAAATATTGTTAAAAGATTGTTACAAGATGTTATGCAACATGTGATGCAAAGACCTGCAGAATTTGACTTCTTGACCCAGGCATGTGGCTTCACCTTCGAGGACTCCTGTTCATGGTGGAGGAAGGACAGAAACGCGACTAGTGCGACTAACACGGTGACTGACACGGTGACCAACAGGCTGACTTGCAGTGTCCAGTGCTGCTGAATCCTTTGTCTTTATTCATGTTGCTTCCATTAGAATCATAGAACATCATAGAACCACCAGAACTTGTTGAACAATGTTGAACAGTGTACAAGCGTTGCCACAGGTTGCCACCAGGTTGCCACTGTGCACATTGGAAGGAGCTGTGTCGGGATCCTACGCTCACCAGCGAGAAATTTGAGAAGTCGGCACCTCAGAAACGGCGAGTCTCTCATACTCGCACCGTTGTGATATGGGGCGGCGCCGAAAGGTCAGGATTCGACTTTTATTCGACTTTTATGTGTTCAGGATTGTTCAGGTAAGGCGGTAAGGCCTTATCAGGCTAGTTGCCGAAGCAAAGGGATCTGCGAGATAGAAGGTTGTATCAGTTGTATCGATATTGTTGTAGATATTGTTGTAGATATTGTTGTATTAATGGTTACACATTGCTATGTTACACCATGTCACACCATAAGTTGCACTGCAAGTTACACCAAGGTCTTATCTCTATGACGTGGAACACGCCTATGGAAAGAAGGGACATCTTCAAGGCCCTGCACGTGTGGCATGGATTTGAAATGATTTGAACATGGAAATTGAAACAACATTGAGCCTTTGAACATCTTTGAACATTCTGTGCACTGCAGTTTTTGTCTGCTTTCTTGGGTTTGCTGTGGCATTGTTGATTTGCGGCAGAGCGCGCTTTGGCTGATTGGTGGACCTCCCTTGACTGTGTATGATTGAAAGTCAAAAATGGCAGGACGCTAAAGGCAAAAACCTATATGATTATCGTAGAAAAGGCGTCTGAGTCAGGTGTGTTTGGCAAATCCAGTGTAGAAACTAGTGGATCGCATATTGTGCGGTGACATAAGCAAGGCAGCAATAACGTACAGCAGAGCTTGGGTGTGAATGAACACATTCCTATAATCATTCCAAATTGTTCAAGGATTGAGTAGTTGCATGCAATTGCCAGAGAGGAATACACAGTCAGCCATTGCACTTGCTCAGACAAGAAGGATGAAGGATGGGAGGTTTTTTCCTCAAACTCAGGGTCGAAAATTGCGACAGGAAACATGTCCAAACCTGTCCAAACATGTCCAAACATGTCGAACTATGTCGAACTATGTCCAAACATGTCGAACTATGTCGAACTATGTCGAACTATGTCGAACTATGTCGAACTATGTCGAACTATGTCGAAATATGTCGAAATAATTCGAAATATGTCGAAATATGTCGAAATAATTCGAAATATATGTTTTGTCATGTCTTATGTCAAGAACTGCCGCAACTGCCAGGTCAGAATTGCTGTGGTTGCCCCGCGATTATTGCCTCGCCGGGGGAAGCGGCAGGGCAGGTGCCGTGCCGTGACAGCCATGCCATGCCATGCCTCGAAGTTTGGTCCATGGAGTCCATGCCATGGGCCACGACACGATGTGGTGGAGACCGTTCAAAGTTCGGGGACGGAATGTGAAGGATCTACAGGATCTACAGGATCTACATTTCAACAAAGACCAAAAGAGTCTTCTCGGACCCAATACATGGGAATACAAATACAGCTTGTGCAGATTTGCGTATGCACAGCTGCGTACAGCAGTAACAGTAACAGCTTGTGGAGCTTGTGGAGCTTGTGGAGGTTCATGGTTGCTTCTTCAAGCAGCTGGAGCCATCTGCGTTGCAACAGCAGCTGCAGAGGTCGGAGTGTCGGAGTCAGACGAGACGCGAGACGCGGCCTGTTTTGTGGCTTTCGGCCCAGATGTCCCAAGACACGAGCAATCCACTGGTCACAAAATTTTCGACAAATTATGATTTTCGACAGCAGAAATCTGGGGAACTGTACCTGGAAGCCCTGAACGTTGAAACTCAGCAATTCCACTTGCAGAGCCTGAATCACAGGTGGCAAGTGCCAATTGCGGAGGGCTTAGAACGTGTAGACTGTTGTGCAACAAGACAATTAGTCAGCGTGTCATTGATTTTTTTCTTGGAAACATGTTGAGACATGTCTTGCATCGTTTTGTGCAGCACTGTTCGTCCAGTGTTTTTCCTCTCAGCCCTTGACGAGGCCACAATGCTTGAGATTCAAAGACTCATCAAAGAAGGCCACAATGAGTGGCCGCAGTGCTTGATATGAACATAGGTCGTCCTACGTGAACACCTGCAAAAACCGTTCGGAACATGTCCAAATGAGTTTCTTGACCAAGTGGGTCAGGAAAACACTATCAGTTGGCCTGCATCGAATACTTCAAGTCATGGCCCTCAGTTGTCGGGGGGGCTTATCGGGGTGTTGCGAAACTTCGGCCAGTTTCTGCTTGAAGAAATCTTGAACATATAATTCCATCCTGACTGAGCTTGGCAAAGTGGGAGAAATCCGCGGTGAAGTTTTCCTTCAAGAGATGTCTCACAGGTCTCAGCATCCTTCAAGCGATGGCGAAGGAGCTGGAAACCGAGACGTGCGAGTCCACTAAGATGTGTCTGGCAGTTGATGTACTAAGAGTACTAGGAGTTGCCACATTCTCACCATTCTGTGCACTAAGGTGGGCAACTCGCCGATGGATTTCCTCCGGACCAGTTGCAGGGAACCCAAGACTCTGGAGCTCAAACGCCGAGCACGGATCACTGAGAAAAGCGCTGATGCTGAATGATTCTAATATGATTCTAATATGATTCTAATATGATTCTAATATGATTCTAATATGATTCTAATGCTTCTCGTGCCTGCTGTAATCCTGCAGATCCTTTGAGCTTTTTGATTTCTTTTCATCCTCTTTGTTAGACTCTGCAGAGAGGAAAAGCTTTGCGCTTTGCAAGGTCACATGCCCTGCGCTTTGCCGCTTTGCACTGTTTGTATCTGTTTGTGCTGTTTGCAAAGTTGGAGAGGAAATATTGAACAAGAAACTTCAAGAAACTCACTGCTTCAGGTCGATACCACAAGGACGGAAAGGGCACAGAGTGTGGGTAGCCTTCGTGATCTTCGTGCTACTTGCAGCACAGCCTGGATCTTTTCTGTTTCTTCGAAACTCCAGCATGAGAGGGAGATAGAATGAGATAGATGGATCGATAGATGGATGATGGCAGATAAGTTGGCGGAGATGTTGATTGGCGAGTCGTGCTGAAGACGAGATAGAACCAAGAGTCGCAGCTTGGGAGGCGCAGAAGGCCACGAGTCCCAAGGATTTGGCTGAGCCACAGGCCGGGACAGCTTTGAAAACTCGGGCAGTTTGATTGTTACGTAACTGTTACAAGATGTTATAAAAAGGTTATAAAAAGGTTATCGCAGGAAGTTTAGAAGTTAAACTTCCGACAATATGGACAGATGAAAAGCAGAGCAGGGAAGAGGCAGAGAGAAGAGAAAGATCAGAAGAAAGAAGAGTAGAAGAGAAAGAGTCAGAAGAAAGCAGATGCCGATGCGCGAAAAGGTAGGAAAGTCGCGAAACACTGTGTTTTTCCAAATAATTTGTGGCTCCAGAGGGTCGAAAAGTAGGCTCGCTAAAGCGGCGGGTGCGGAGCCAGCTGGCCAGATGAGAGATGAAAAATTGCACGCCGTTGTGGCGCGAAGCACATTTCCAAGTCAAAATGTACAAAACACACCAGCTTCGGACGGACCACTTTTGGCAGTTGAGATGTTGAAAAAGTGCACGCCGTTGTGGCGCGAAGCACATTTGCAAGTCAAAACATACAAAGCACCAAATGTTCGCGCCACTTTTGGAGGTTCAGATGTTGAAAAAGTGCACGCCGTTGTGGCGCGAAGCACATTTCGAAGTCAAAATGTTAAAAACACCAGGGTTTCGGACCACTTTTGGAGATTCAGATGTCGCTTCGCTTCACTACACTATATTGCACTACACTACACTCCACTACACTGCACTGCACTACACTACACTACATTACACAACACTACAACTACAACTACACAACTACACTCCACTACACTCCACTACACTACACTACATTACACTACACTACGCTCCACTACACTACACTACACTACATTACACTACACTACACTACCTTCCACTACACTTCACTACATTACACTACACTACACTCCACTACAACTACAACTACACAGCTACACTCCACTACAATACACTCCACTACACTAAGTTACACTACACTACACGACATTACACTGCACTACACTCCACTACACTACACTACATTACACTACACTACACTACCTTCCACTACACTTCACTACATTACACTACACTACACTCCACTACACTACAACTACAACTACGAATGCACAACTACACTCCACTACACTAAATTACACTACACCACACTACATTACACTACAGTACACTACCTTCCACTACACTCCACTACACTACACTACATTACACTACACTACACTACACAGAATGACACTGCACCACAGATAGACAGGTCGACAGATAGACAGACAGACAGACAAGGCAAGACAAGACAAGACAAGACAAGACAGGACAGACAGACAGACAGATAGATAGATAGATAGATAGGTAATTAGATGAAAGAGAGAGAGAGGGATAGATAGATCGATAGATAGATAGATGCATAGAAGATAGGTTGGTAGGTGGGTAGATAGTCAGAGAAAGAGAGAGAAAGAGAGGAGACCTCAAGCACCTTTCGGTCCATCAGTGGATTTGCTCTGCCATCCCTGATTCACAACAACCAATCTCTCCTATAGGTTTCCTATTTTTGAGACTTCCGCCACCGTCTTGTGCGGTACTACTGGTAAAAAAGTTAAAAAAAAGGTTATAAGATGCTACAAGTGACACTTTTTGGGGCTGAAAGACTGCTGTGTCCGACTGTGTCCGACTGTGTCCTGCACTTTCCTGTGAAGTTTGCGCCAGGCAATTGAAGGATAAGTGTTTTTTCGTGGGAAATGCAGTTGGGATCCCTGAAACTGAAATGAATTTCTATACAATTGGATGAAACGGATGTGACCATGATACCAGATTTTCTTAACTGCGAGGTTTGAGCCAAAGGGATCCCAACATGTCATTGCGGGACTGGACCGAACTAGGGGATGTGATCGGTCTCACAAGAGGCTGCCACGAAAGCGCAGATGTCGCAAAAAGTGCAAGGTGTTGACCGATGATTTACCTGAGTCTGCCACTTGGCTTTGTCAGGGCCAGACAGTGTCTTGACCAAAATGGATCTGAATCGTTCAGGCTGAGTCCCAGTCATGCCAAGCTTGCATGCCCAACAGAGTCACTGCTTGCCGTCCGAAACGATTTCGTGAGATGATTTCAAGACCCTTTGGAGTGGCAAGTTATGCATTTGTCGCCTTGGCTCATTAGCTGAACAGGTTTGAACTTCAAACTTGTCGAGCAGCAAAGTTTCTGAGTACTGTCAGTAGATAGTTGGTTCAGCACATTCAGGCCATATCATGTAGGTGTGATCTTCTTTCTTTACGGCAACAATCTTCCGGCTGCACTGCCGCTGCAGCTAGCTGCTGTGCCGTGATGGCAGTGAACTATGCTGCTAAAAGAAAGGCTCCAACGCCACTGGAGTGGCAGCAAAAGCAAAAGTCTTTCAAGACCTGGGAACAGGACTTCCCATCCAGGCGCGAAGAAACTAGGGAAGAGATGGGTAAAATAGATTAAAATAGCAAACGACAACAAACTAAGACTTGAGGTGCTGAGGTAGGGACGATGTATCCGATGTGGACTAGAACACGGGAAATCAATCTTGGAATGAGAATCTTCCCCGTTGTGTGCGTCGATTATTGGAGTACAAGGCATCCAGCTTTTGCTTATCAGGGAGAGTTTCTTGTTATTCTTGTTGATTGAGGCATTGAGGTTTTCTCTTCAGGTCTAAGAGTCTTATTCGCTCAGCAGTGTGAGGTCACGGCTCTATATGGACCAGGAAGATTTTGGGCCGACCCAGCCGACTCGAACGTCTAAACGTTCACAAGACAACGGCAGGGACAAGGGCCACAAGCAGCTAAAGCAGCTGAGTGAAACTTGGCTTACTTGAACTTTTCTTTTCTTGGCAAGAGCTTTGGTGTTTGTGTTGGCTTCTGCCACCGTCTTGTTTCGACTTGACCATACTTGGCCCACTTTGAAGCCCCTTCCAAGGAGAAGGAGCGGCAAGCCACCTATGGCCACCGCAAGCCCAAAGGCTCTGTGGGAAAAATCCTGGTCGAGAAGTCCTTAATGGAGAAGGGGAAGTCGAAACCTGGATCTGGGGAGCGTCGGGAGAAGGAGCTGAAGGTTGCGGAGCCAAAGGACTTCGATCAAGTCCTGAGGAGCTTTTCCGACAAATCGCTGGAAGATTTGATGTCGGAAGGCCGCTTTGACGACCTTCGAGCTGTTTGCTCGGCGGTCGCCAGCTTTTGCCCGATCCCGCACATGCATCTCCTACAGACCCTGCCACTCGCAAGAGGACTGGCTCATCACTTTGTCTCAAAACCATTTTCAGACATTCCATCATCCGTCATCCCGACTTATAGACTTAAAGCCACCAAAGTTCAGATATAGAGTTCAGCTGGAGAACCCCAAAGTGGTATTTTCCACTCGTTTCACAACATCTATACTCCAAGCCTACCCAATGAAAACCCAGTCCACCCAAGGTCGAAGATTCCACAGGGGAAGAACACCTTCGACGCGGAGAGCTGCCTCGATACCATGATCGGGGCTGTTGAGTGGAGCAACCGGGAATCACTCCGCAACTTCCGCCGGCTGCTGTATCCCATCGTGGATACCTTCCTGGAGGAGTCACAGGACGACCGGCACCAACTGCACCACATCAGGGTCACCAAACATCTCTGAAACGTAGCTGGAACATGCCTGGAGAGAATTTGTGAAGAGGCGTTGCCTGTGCAAAAATGTAGTGACATAGCGCATGCCGCATAGCATACATGGCCTCTATTTGCAAGTACCTCGACAATCTAGTTGAATCGCCTCAGTCTTTTGCTAGAGAATTGAATTGCCTTATCATCAGGGGCACCAACTGCAACATAGCCGGAACATGAACGGAAAGAGAATTTGCGAAACAATGTACTCCTTCGCATACATCGCTCATGCTTGCAAGTGCCTCAGCGGGAGTCGCCTTGGTCAGAGAACTGAATCGTCGGCGCAGGACGCTATCCTTCGTCGCATGAAGGATATTCCTTTGATGAATGAGAGCTTTACGAACCTCACGTTCACCAAGGCTGGCGTAGAGGGTGTTGAGCAAAGCGGCTATCAAGCGGCTGTCAAGCCTTGAGTTTTGCAGATTTTTTCAATTGGTGCAGAATCTCTTAGTCATCCCTAATCCAGTTCTGTCAATCTGTCAATCACACTGTGGGTCTTGCCTGGTGTTTTCAAAGAGGGGCACGACAGGGCATGGTCGGTCCAATGAAAATCCACAAAGTTTGAAAGATACTGTAACGCAGACGCAAACCCGTGGTGTTATTGTGTTTTGTTGCTGTTGGAATCTGGGACCGTCCCAAACCTACCAAACAAAGGCTTGGACACGCTTGGATCTAGAAGCCTTCCAGAGGCATAGCGGCATAGGCAAGTTCTAGGTGCCCGACCTCCCTTTGTCCCTCAATAATCCTCAACCAATCTCAATAATTAATTGCTCTAAGAGTCGTTGCTGCATCAACCAAAGAGTGACAGGGCGATTACAACGGTGAATTGAAGCTGACGGAGGCGCTGGTTTGGATACTTGGCAAGTGCCAGTGCTTGGCGAAATCGGAAACAGTTTGAGGTGACACTGAGTCATTGGAACAGTGCAACCACTGTGAATCCTGTTTCTAAGGAGTGGAGAGGGGAGACCATTGGACGAGTCAGACACGGTTTGGCTGAGTCGAATGGAGTGGAATTCAGAATCTGGAAGCTTGGAGCAGATACAAGAGCCAAGTTTTTTTTTGGCAGATATGGAAGGCTGAAGATTTTCTGTCTCAGGAAGTTTCAGCCATTTGATGAGTTGTGAGGGGTGCTGACTTCGAATCTGAGGATTCATGCCCCTTTGCGAGTGTAGTGTGGTCAGCACCTCTCCGCTGGTGCTCAAGTACACTGCAAAGCAAAAGGAGCAACCGGTCATCCTCGCCGCACTGGCAGGGATTCCTTGTCGTATCGACAAGATGGCGACAAGAACCACATTTTCCAGGACTCTTTCAGCACTGCATTGCCTCTTGGTGCAAATTTTGGCAATTCGGATAATTTGGGACACTGGCACGACTCTGTCAGATTTGTTGCTGCTTTTCACTTGATGATTACCACCATGGGTTTAAATCAGTCTGAATCGGCACGAATCGGTATGAATCGCAACGTGCAGAGCGTGTCGAGCTGCCAAGCTGCAGGCATGATGGAGCCGCCACGGCGTGTGAAAAACAAAAAGTCGCAAAAAGAAGGAGTCCCAGATCGGTTGCCGATGAATTTCGCCCCTTCGGAAACTCTGAAGAGGCTCTTGATGTGTGAAGGAACAGGCAAACAGATGAGACTGTGGGCATCCGAGTATGTGCGTATCATGCCGGAGTTTGACGGCTCTGTTCGAGTGACCCGACTGACTAGACCGACGATACAACATGCTTACTCATACTTGTCCATTTTGTTATTTGTTCATTTTCATTCATTTTCCAACATTCCACTTTCTTGAAACCCTGTTTAGACTTTTCGTGTGACCTGAGGCACTCTTGCCCACGAGAAGGCTGAACAGAAGCCAGCAGGAAGCACTGGCCCAGGCGTCTGCCAACGCCTTAACCCTTATTCAGGGACCTCCAGGCGCACGTCACTGAATTCTGTCTCATGTCCCAAGATGTCCTTCATGCATTTTGCTTTTAACCTATGCAGAGTTTGCACGGAGCTTAAGTACCTCAAAAAAAAGCACTGCAAACAGTGTGAACTTCTACTTCTGCGCCGCTGCCCTTTTGAACCGCAGGCACAGGAAAGACAACCACCTGCGTCCAAATCCTCCGATATTGGGCCAAAGCATTTAAGCCCCCAAACAAGAACACCAGAGCCTCGGACATTGCATAGCTTTGCTGCTTCATGCTAGTTCTTTCTCTTCTCCATCCCTGTCTCTGTCTCCATCTCCATTTCCGTCTCCGTCTCCCTCTCTCTCGCTCCATCCCCCTCCCTCTCTCCTGTCTCCTGTCTCCTCTCTTCTCTCTTGTCTCTTCTCTCTCTCTCTCTCTCTCTCTCTCTCTCTCTTCTCTCTCCTCTCTCCTCTCTCCTCTCTCCTCTCTCTCTCTCTCTCTCTCTCTCTCTCTTCTCTCTCCTCTCTCCTCTCTCCTCTCTCCTCTCTCTCTCTCTGCTCTCTTCTCTCTTCTCTCTTCTCTCTTCTCTCTTCTCTCTTCTCTCTTCTCTCTCCTCTCTCCTCTCTCCTCTCTCTCTCTCTCTCTCTCTCTCTCTCTCTCTCTCTCTGCTCTCTGCTCTCTTCTCTCTTCTCTCTTCTCTCTTCTCTCTTCTCTCTTCTCTCTTCTCTCTTCTCTCTTCTCTCTTCTCTCTTCTCTCTTCTCTCTTCGCCTTCTCTCTCTCTCTCTTGTAGTTGCATGGCATGGCTAATTGATTTTTTTTTTAGCACGGGGGCGATCAATCTGGACCGTCGTTCAAGGAGGTCTTCTGAGAGGTGAGGTATCTATGTCCCTTCTTTTTTTGAACATTTGATGGATCTCACTGTGCAGCCCCACAACCTAGAGATCAGGAATTTTGGCAACCAGTGGGTCCAACATCGCCGTGGACAATTTGGTGGAGGGCTTAGTGAAAGAGGGCATCAAAGTGGTGCGTGCCTTGGCGGAACTTTCGAAAATTGCTCGAAAGGCATTCCGAAATCTTTCCAGTCTCAATCGATCAAAAAGTCAAAGGAATTGTGGAATTGTCCTTCTCCTGATATTTTCCAGCACCAACCTGTGTTTTCTCGGGGATACACAACGAATGCATGTCCGAGTCAGACACACGAAGCGTTAGGTATCGGACGGCCGGAAAGTGCCCGGCCCGAGCTCTGGAATTCCTGCGTGGAGAATGTGGCTGCGAAGTTGCTCGGGGTCAACAGCTTAGCCGACGTCAGCCACTTGCCTGTGATGGAGTTTCGCGCAATTTTGCACTTGATTTTGCACTGGTTTTTGTTTTACCATTTCTTCCAAATTTCGTCCCATTTCTTCCCATTCTTTTCCATTCTTTTTTCTCCATTCTTTTCTTTTCCATTCTTTCCGATCCATTCCCATTCTGTCCCATCCTTTCCCATTGTTTCCCATTCTTTCCGATTCTTTTCTCATTTTTGCCATTCTTTCTACTAAGTTACTTCTTTTTCTCCCATTTCTTTCTTTCGTATTTCAAATTACTTCACGCCATTTCACATTATTTCAGCGTGTTTTTCAGCGTGTTTGGTTTGTGACAGTCCCGCTGCTCAGTTTTCTTCTGGAGTTCCGAGTTCCGGTGAAATTTCAGATACAACCCCTGTGACATGCACCGCCCATCAATGTCGACGATGAGGCTCTCATGAACGGAGCAAAGCTTTGCATCGTGCTGTCCAAGAGGCTCAGGTGGTTTGTTGCACAGCCATCAGCGCTGGAAGCAGCATTCTGAAAGAGACCTCTTTTCCCTTGGTCGCCTGATCAAATTTCAACAAAAAACATCAAACATCCAAAGAGGATTTGAGGATAATTTCTCAGAATGTGACAATGTGGCAAGTGATTCGTTTGCAGTTTTGGAGAACACTGCGAGGAAGTGCTTTCTTTTCTCGTGATTTTGCATCATAAGGTCCTGATTGATGAAGCTTCACAAGCGACGGAGACGGCAACATTGGTTCCAATTTGCCATGGCTGCAAGCAGTTGGTTCTTTGTGGAGATCACTGCCAACTTCCTCCCACAGTGAAAAGCGAGTCGCCCTACTCAGCAGGGCTTAAGATGTCCCTGTTCGAAAGGTTGGCCCTGTATGGTTTGCGGCCGATCATGTTGAACACGCAGTGCCTTGGAGCAGGCCATGTATACATTTCACATATTGGCAGATATGTAAATGTATACATTTATAATATATATTATATAAATCATATACATATATATATATATATACACAGTTATATACACATATTAGACATATATATATAGTCTGTACATGGCTGTATGTATCCAGTATGTACGCGCAGATAATTGCGACAATCAGGTGCTTCTACAGGAGTTGATTACGTTGATTACTTGATTCTTCAAGTGTTTTGCGGCCGAGAATTTGTGATAGGTGATCCTTACCAAACTCTCAACAGTCGTCATTATGGAACATGATTCCAAATGATTCCGAATGAGTCCATGATCTTGATGCAGTGACTTATGGGTCAACCACCTTCTCATTCCCATAGCAGTCCTGCAGGTATCGGATGCATCCTTTGCTTTCAGCTTTCCCGTCGGAGCAGTTCTATGATGGACAGCTTTCTGATGACAAGACGAAGACTCCTGTGCTTCGGACAAGACATGCACAAAATTCTCGGGGGTGCTGCATCGCATCTGTATACTGTAGATTTTTGATCTGCATTTCTTATGTCATGCTTGCGCAGCTCAGGCCACGAAAGCGAAAGCCTGGGTTTTCAAAGAGCCTCTGGTCGTGGCTCCCGTCTTTACTGCGGAAACTCCCAAAGGGACCAGCCACATGAACGAGGGTGAGGCTCAAACTTTGGCAACTCAACGCAAAATCGCACTGTCAGAAAGACAATCAGAACGACAGGAACCAGCAAAAACTCGGGCAGAGATTACGGGAGATGCAGAATATCCTGTCATGACATTGTATCTCGTGATTGCATTTGAGGTAAGCCATGCTTTACGGTATCTTCGAAATGGCGGTAAGGAGGAGAGTCTTGGCATCATCTCACCATACGACTCACAGGCGGGTGGAGTGTGTCCAGGACCGTTGTGTGCAAACCTGGGATCTAAGCTCTAAGACTCTAAGAGCAGATGAATGCAGAGCAGATGAATGCACTTTGTCGAAGCCATTCTTAAGATCTGTGCGGTTGGTTGCAAACAGCATGGGCTGACTCCATTGCATATTTTTTTTGAGGCCATGATCATTATTTGTGATCATCTACGATCATCCATGATTCAGTACATCCGAGTTTGCCAGACAAAGTTGATGCCTTGCAGGTGAAACTACTGCGTCGGATGCTGCAGAAACAAGGCGTCCGAACAGGTCTCCATGGTGTGGAGGTCAACTCGGTGGACGGCTTTCAAGGCCGTGAGAAGGAGGCGAGGCATAGACCAATACACTTTGTCGCAGGTCACAAAGATTTCACATGTAGAATCTTTGTTCAACCAACCCTTGCACCTTCAATCAAAGTCGGGAGCTGACGGGATACTCCCATGGAGCGTGATCACGTTGCCTGATGTATTTGAGCCAACCTGATTCAACTTGAGACCATCTTATCTTCACTTCCCTCAGCACTTGTGCTTCCTACAACAGTTGCCACTGCAGAATTGCGAAGCCCATTTCTGCAGGTTATCATGATTTCCACAGTGAGATCGAACATAGAGAATGCCACGGGCTTCGTTCGCGACTGGCGCCGAATCAACGTAGCTATCACCCGTGCAAAGTGGCAGCCCCAATGCTGTTGGACCAATGGAAACGTATTGAAACACATTGGAACAAATGGAAACTTTGGCCAAACATGTGTAGAGGTTTGTGTCGAGGTTTGTGTCGACTACTATTTCGAAGCAAGCCCTGCTGCTGTGAGAGCAAGTAGAATTCGACGCCAGGTCAGGGCTGCTGGTTGTCTGTAACCCACAGACATTGGCACGAGATCACGTCTCTTGGCTCCTTGGCTTCAAAAAGGTGCCGCATCGGAGGATTTTCAGGTCCAAGCTGCAGTTTCGTTCCGTGGCAATCCGACAGTCTGACAGTTTGACATGTTGGATTCTTGGTTTCCCGGTCAGGTTACCATGGCTGTACTGGTCCAGATGGCGCGGTCTCTGGCTTCTCGCACTGAACATAGAAATACGTAAAAATACCAGGATCGTATTATTCATTCTTGTGTTTGCCAAGAATCGTTGAAGAAGTTCTGGTCAGTCTTTCTCAGGGCAGCGTTGGAAGACCAGAAGCCGAAAACCACAATGGCAAAGTCTCAAAATATAACGATAGAATCTGATAGAGTAAGTCCAGTATGAATGGGATTGAACAGGATCCAATAGGTATCAATCAATAGGTAGGAAGAGGACTTGGATATATTTGGATCGAGGAATGACAAAGAGACCTTTGGATCATTTTGGATCTACCTGACGGTATTCAATCTGATGTTCAAGAAATTTCGCTTTGATTTCCGTAGCATTTGGAATCTCATTCGAGCTCTTCACTGGGTCAGGCTTAACGACGAAGATGTGAAGCTGCCAGAATTGCGGATCGATTCGAAAAGGAAGGCATGCGGACTAAGTTCCCTGCCAAAGGAACCTCCTTCCCCATCCCGCTCCCGGTCGCCTCTGCCAAAATGGAAGAGGTGGTGATCGGAGCATCGAAGTATCGGTGCCGACATCGGCATAGTGTGCTGGGAGGAAACAGAAATCCCTCCTTGCGCTTCCTTGCGCTTCCTTGCGCTTCCTTGCGACTGTACTTAGAGATGCCAAGTTTCAAGGCACAGTGTACATGTTGCAGCAGCTAGTTCCAGCTAGAAAAGCAGGCTGAGCGGAGGCTTGTGGATGTTGGTGTGAGTGCTGCGTGTGGATAAGACGGTCACAGAGAAATAGAAACAGAGTTTGGAAAGAGGGGGAAGAAGCATTGGGGAACAGTTGAAAATACTTAAGAGTGTGGATGGTGACAACTTGCGAGTGCCGATGTCACGTGGAGGTCGAAAGGTTGTTCACATGTGATCTATTTTCGCCATGAGGGCAATGGATTTCATCTGGTCTTTTTGCCGCAGTTTTGTGCCACACCACCGTGCTGCCTTTTGCCAGACTGTTCTGAAATGTACTGGAGAACATGTCAACGCGCACTGCAAGTTGAACAGATATGTTTTGATGAAGATTTTCTTGTGTAGCATCCGTCAGCAAAAATCGTCATTTTGACACTAAGTTGAAAGCAATGGTAAATTCCGCCGCCTGGAAAATGCCTTCAGAGAATTTGTGAAGAGGCGTTGCCTGTGCAAAATGTAGTGCCTCAGCACGAGTCCCCTTGGTCTTTAGCTTGAGAACTGACGCTATCCTTCGCCGGATGATAGCGTCCTGCGCTGACGATTCAGATGTCCAGCACAAGACCAAGGCGCTTACTGTTTCTGGGATGCACAAAGAACACACGAACTGTTAGGTATTGGATGACCAGAAAGCGCCCGACCCGAGCTGGGTCAAACCTGTGTGGACTCGACGCAGGTTTCCCCGAGCTCGGGTCAGGCACTTTCTGGTCGTCCAATATCTAACGGTTCGTGTGTCTGACTCGGACGTGCAGTGGAGAATGTGGCTGCGAAGTTGCTCGGAGTCAACAGCTTGGCCGACGTCAGCCACTTGCCTGTGATGGAGTTTCACGCAATTTTGCACTGGTTTTTGTTTTACAATTTCTTCCCATTTCTTCCATTCTTTTCCATTCTTTTCCATTCTGTCCCATCCTTTCCCATGGTTTCCCATTCTTTCCGATTCTTTTCTCATTTTTGCAATTCTTTCTACTAAGTTACTTCTTTTTCTCCAATTTCTTTCTTTCGTATTTCAAATTACTTCACGCTATTTCACATTATTTCAGCGTGTTTTTCAGCGTGTTTTTGGTTTGTGACAGTCCCGCTGCTCAGTTTTCTTCTGGAGTTCCGAGTTCCGGTGAAATTTCAGATACAACCCCTGTGACATGCACCGCCCATCAATGTAGACGATGAGGCTCTCATGAACGGAGCAAAGCTTTGCATCGTGCTGTCCAAGAGGCTCAGGTGGTTTGTTGCACAGTCATCAGCGCTGGAAGCAGCATTCTGAAAGAGACCTCTTTTCCCTTGGTCGCCTGATCAAATTTCAACAAAAAACATCAAACATCCAAAGAGGATTTGAGGATAATTTCTCAGAATGTGACAATGTGGCAAGTGATTCGTTTGCAGTTTTGGAGAACACTGCGAGGAAGTGCTTTCTTTTCTCGTGATTTTACATCATAAGGTCCTGATTGATGAAGCTTCACAAGCGACGGAGACGGCAACATTGGTTCCAATTTGCCATGGCTGCAAGCAGTTGGTTCTTTGTGGAGATCACTGCCAACTTCCTCCCACAGTGAAAAGCGAGTCGCCCTACTCAGCAGGGCTTAAGATGTCCCTGTTCGAAAGGTTGGCCCTGTATGGTTTGCGGCCGATCATGTTGAACACGCAGTGCCTTGGAGCAGGGGAAGAGTTGCTGTTGTATGAGGGCCCACAAGGCAGTTCCTTCTCATCTGAACCTGTGTGTCAATATTTGTATTATATATATATATGATAAATTATGTATATATATATGATTCTATGATATTATACGTATGTATATGCCATGCACACATTTTACACATTGGCAGATATGTAAATGGCATTAGTTGTGAGGCTTTGTTTGAACGTGCCTGTGCTCAAGCTGATGAGTTGGACTTCGATTTTAGGTCAGGCTGTGGGCATCACCAGGGAAGCTATCTTAAGCAACTTCTGGGGCTTGGCCTGTCCCATCCATTGCCATCCGTCCTCTCTGCCATCACTTGCTCTGGCATTTCTGATTGGATCCATTCTCGGTGCTGCCCTTGCCTTCCACATCTCCGTTTGGATTTTCCTTTCCCCTTCGCCTCAGAGCCACCCGCCATCTGTGCCTTCCAGGGTCCTGGCCCAAAACTTGAGGAGAAGATTGGAGGGGTACGGTCCCCTCTTGAATGAGCGCCAGCAATTCTGAGGTTCAAGATCTGGTACGAGCCCTTGATCGGCTCAGCTTGGCAATTGAGGAGTCAGGGAGACCAGAGTCACAGGGCTGGGAATACATCAGCCCCAGCGCAGAGCCTCAGCGGCCTGGGCTTGAAAGTGTTGCCCAGGGGGATTACAATTCTTTTGCTGAGCTTATTCCTCCTTGTCCAGGTCACTGTTTGCGACTGGGGCGAAGGCTGGTGGCAGGAGAGTACTCAGTTGAATACAGGATCAAGAGAGCCTGGGAGGCTGGTTTTTGGGCCTCTTTGGTGCTCGAAGGGCGATTGCCTCGTCCTAGGGCCAGTTTGCCCCTCAACATCAGGCCGTGCATCTACGTCATCCTGCGAGCCCCAGGCTTGTCAGCACCTACTCGGGTGTCAAGTACCTCTGACCTCTACCGGGTCACGGGTCGGTTCACCGAGGAGACGCTGTGCCACGGGTTCCCATCAATTGCGGAGGCTGAGACCTACTGCGAGGCAGCAGGAGTGGATTTCCCCTCGCAGCACAAGTGGCATTGATGGAGCCTGCAGTGGACATTCTCAGTGCAGAGCCCCCCATCAGGGCAGTTTTACTATGGCCCCCTGGGGAGGAAGAAGAGCAGCATTTGGTGCAGGTTTTTGTCATTATGAAGCGAGCAGGTGGTGTCCTGTTGGCTCTTCCAGAAAACATTTTGGACGATGCATCCCTCAGGCGTCAGTCAGAGCCTTTGGAGGATGGGGGGGAGCCCCTAGTGGGCCCGTACAAAACTTTTGCTGCCCCTTTGCTGATCAGTGGACTGGATGGTCGCCTAGAGCAATCAGGAGAGAGCTGCAATGTTTTGGTGGTGGATATGAGCCTTCCGGGAGTGGGGGACTGTTTGCATCCATTTGTAGAAGATGGTACAGACGTGGATTTGACAAACCATTTTATCAATTCAGACCCAGGTGCCAGACCAAGTCTTCCAGATCTTCTGCATGCGGTTCAGGAATGGATTTCTTCAGAGCTGCACGGAGATCGTCTGGCATTCTACTCTGCTCAAGAAGAGGAGGATCACCCACAGAGGGAGTCTCCCACCGCCGCCCCCAAACATGGGCGTCCAGGTGGTTCTACTACGCCCGGCAAGGCGCCAGGCGTTGCAAAAGCCGGGCAGAAGCGTCCTACGGTGGCAGTACTGGCGGCCCAGCTGGAGACAGTGCTGGGCACTTTGCCTGCTCTCACCGAACAATTGGCAGTGCTTACAGAGAAACAAAGTGCGCTGGAGAAGTCCCAGCGTTTTGGAGCAGAGCCGGCTGCCCCTTTCAAACCTATGGCAGTGGGCAAAACGGCAATGCCTGTCTCAGCGCTGTTGCAACCAGGTGGGACTCCGAAAGCAGCAGCAGGGCTCCATTCTTTGCTGGGGCCGCCGCCGCCAACGAGGGGATTGCCTCAGGAGGCGCTGACCGCGCCTCATGTCAAGTTCCACGAGGACGAGCCATTGGACCCCTTGCAGCCAGAAGAGGATTGGGGTGCCCAGTCTCCCATGGCGATGGCGCTTCTAGAGCAGAGCAAGGCCCTACGTGCCTTGATGGTGCACTTCCACGCCAGTGGCTCCGATCCCATGTCAGACCTTTCCTCCGCAGCTCCCACAACGGGCGTCAAGGGCACAATGGCCCGAGAAAAGCTTCAGCGGGAGTTGTCTCAGGGCTCAGGCCTTTTCTATCTGAAAGTTTGCCAGGCAATCCATCGAAGGATGTCCCCTCATCCAGGCCACCTTCAAATCTTTCAGAAGCCAAAGGAACATCATTGCTGAACTACCTCGAGAGGTATGGGGGCTTTGGCCAGAATCGCGAGCTTGGTATGGTGCAATGGTCCATCGCTCACGCCTTCGATGCCGCGGCAAAGGAAGAATGGGGGGCCGTGCAGGACCACCTTGCATTGACAGCAGTCATGGTGGAACAGGCAAGCCTGGACAACAATCGTTGGCACCTAGCTTGGCTTCTCAGGCTACTGGACGACCCTCCTCAGAACTTGTGGATCAGCAGAGGCCAGACAGCAACGGGCGCAAAGAGGCCCTTCTCCCCGCTGTGCTCACCGTCCTGGGTGACAACAGCGTTGGCCTTTATGAAGGAGGCGGAGGTTTTGCAAACAAAACGACAAGAGATCTTGGGAGCAAAGAGCCCCGCGGGTCAAGAGGATGCTCCCACACCGAAGCCTGCTCCAAAGCGAAGGCCTGGCAAAGGAAGGGGCCGTCAGGGAGGAACAGCAGCAGCAAACCAGGAAGAGGGGTGAGCATTGCAACTGCGGGCTCAGGCGGTGGAAGTTCAAGTCCAAGTGACCGCTGTTACTTGAAGCCCCTGCGCTCTCAGTTGCCTTGCTCCTCCTCTGCTAAGGTCCTAAGATGCAGTCCGCTATCAGCACAGAACTCAGTTTGCGGCAGGGGTTTCAATGGAGCCTGCCCTACACTGGACACTCAGGAGGATGCTGACCGGCAGTCACAAACGACCTGCCAGGGAGAGCCTCCTTTTTTGAATTCAGGTCAACGTACAGATGCAGAGGAGATCCTCCTTCGTGATGAGAGCTTGGATAGCTTCTCTTTCTCCTTTGCGGAATGGTGCATGTCTATCACAAGGTGGGCACTCAGGAGTCGAACAAGTTTTGGCCATTTTTTGTCCACTACACTCAGCCTTTCTCGGGACGGGCCTTTGGCCCCCCCTACCGCCTTGTTTCCTCTGCCCCTACCGGTTGAAAGACCGTATGCAGAGTGCCCTGATGGTCGGGTTGGATGCACAGTGCAGAAGGCGGCCCTGGATCGTGGACTTCATGTTATTATTTGTGCTTTGAATTTCATGTACTGGTCCAGAAGTTGCCCACCGACAGACTTGATCAGGAGGCAGCCGAACGAAGTTCAAGCCCGGGCAATTCAGAAGCTCCGGCTGCTGCTTGAGGCGTGTGGTTGCTCTGAGCACATTCAAGTTGCCAGTAGCGGCCGTCGAAATTTGCAGTTAATGGCCCGCCTTCAAGAGCTGGCATTGGCTGCAGACAATTTGGGTCTCATGCGGAGGCCTTATCAGGAGCCGTCCTCACATGCTCCTGTACCCATCGACAATGCAGCCTTCCCACAACTGAATCCTTTTTCCAATCTCAACCCAGAGAGGCTCAAAATTACAGGTAGGGGCCAATGGTGTGCGTCAGATTTCATTGAGCCTGAGCTCTACATGCCTTTTTTGGAGCCACAAATTTTGGAGCTTGCACATCCAGTTTTTGACCGGGGCATTCCAAATTTTGGGGTAGATGAGCCAGAGACCGTTTTTGACCTCTTCAAGAAATGGGATGATTTGGATTTGTTGGTCTTGCATCCGCGCAGCGAGATCACTACAGGTGACAGTGGGAGGGTTAAGATTTTCAACTCTTACAAGTCAGCAGCAAATGACAGGCAGATTGGTGACAGGCGAGCACGCAATGCATGGGAGGGAAGAATCCCTGGGCCATCTTCGGCTCTTCCAGTTGGCCCTCTCATTGGTAGGCTTGTGATACCGGAGGGCTATGGCATCAAGGTCTGCGTGACAGACAGGTCTGACTACTACCACCAGGTAAAGGTCACACATGCCCGAAGCCGCTCCAACATCGTCTGGCCGCCAATGCCTCTGTCAAAGTTTGTTGAGCTGAAGGCCTACCAGAAGTATTGTGCAGCAGCAAGAGATAGCAAAAAGCGAAGAGACCGCACAGTTTTTGGTGATGATTTGGGGGGGCACCGGCCTGGAGTTTTTTCCCAGGAGCCCTCTACGCAAGTTTATGGTGGTTTTGGGGCAATTCTGCAAGGTGATCATTTGGGCGTTGAGTTTGGCATTTCAGCTCACGTTGGTCTTCTCCAATCAGAAGGTCTTCTGCCAGACCGTGGACGCCTTGTAGCAGATGCGTTGGTGAGGCCCTGCGGCCTTTATCAGGGGCTCTGCATTGATGATTTTTTCTGCATAGCTCCAGTTCCCCTCAAGGACTTGCATGAGGGAGAGACAGCATCTCCTAGTGCGGCAAAGAAAGCGTTTGACGTTGCCAAGGCTTGCTACCAGCGTCAAGGGCTTGCAGGGTCTGATCAAAAGGACGTTGTCGACAAGATTCAGGGCACGGTAGTTGGCGCTGAGATCAACTCTAGTCAGAAGTTGGTTTCGAAAGGGGTGCTGCCAGTGGGAGCGCCATCAGCCAAGCGGCTTGCCCTTTCTTGGATAGCTGCTGCTTCAGCTCGTTTGCCTGTCACTTCGGATGCTCTTCACTCCTCACTGATAGGCGGTTTGGTGTCAGTTTTTTGCTACAGGAGATGCAGCATGTCAATCTTACAGGAGGTCTTTCGAGTGATCCCAGCTGAGAAGCTCAACACAGCAGCGCCCATTACCAGGCCCTTGTCAAGGGCAGCGGCAGAGGAGCTTATTTTGTCCTCGGTCCTGCTCCCCATTCTGGTCTCGGATGTGAAGGCGCCCTTCCATGAGTGGCTGTACGCCTCGGATGCCTCCAACAGCAAGGGTGCATTTTGTGAGGCGCCAATAAGCCGGGAGATCCTTCACCCACTCTGGTTGTCAGGAGACTTCAAGGGTGCCAGAACTCATTTGGATTCAGGGCACAAGGCCTGTTTTGAGGAAGCTACATTTTTTGAGGAGGAGGACTGGCAAGACTTTCAGGCTGAGGACACTTTGTGGCCTGATTTCAGTAGCCAGCCACCACCCTCTCGCCCCCTTCCACAGCGCTACGACTTCATTGAGGTTTGCGGTGGCTCGGGTGTGGTGTCTGATCAGGTTGCGCTCCTCGGCTATGTTGTTGGGCCAATCATTGACCTGACCTACTCAGAGCATTTTGATTTGCTGGATATGAGGGTTGTTGAGTGGTTGATTTTCATGGTGCAGCATCGTAGGGTCAGGGCAGTTGCTTTGGAACCACCTTGCACAACATTCAGCCCAGCAGCATACCCCCCAGTTCGCAGCTACAAGATGCCGAGAGGTTTCAACCAGAAATCAACAAAGGTTTGGGTTGGCAATAGATTGGCTTTTGCTTGTTTGACTATTCTCCTTGTTGCAGCACACTGTTTGGTCCTGGCCCTCCTGGAGACTCCTAGGAGATCAAAGATGGCGTGGCTTGAGGAGTGGAAGAGGCTCTTGCAGTTGCCAAACGTTGAGGAGACTTTCACGGCTTCTTGTTCTTTCGGCAGCCCTTTTCAGAAGGAGTTTCGGTTTTTGGTTGCAAACATGAGGGCGAGTAGCCTTTGCCGGCCATGCACGAGGGATCACTCCCACGTGAGGATACAAGGCCAATTGACCAAGGGGTCGGCCGTCTATTGCCCAGGATTGGCAAAGGCTATTGCTGGTCTTTTTGCAAAGCACCTTGAGGTCGAGAGGGCGTACAGCCAAAAGCATGCTTTGAAGTGTGACGGATTGGAAAGTGCCTTTGTCAATGAGCTGGTTAAAACTTCAAGTTGGGAAGTTGGCGGTGTTTGGAAGTGGACAGGGAGCTCTCACATCAATATTTTGGAGACTTCAAGTGCGTTGCGGACTGTCAAAGCTGCAGCTTTGAGAGGAGGCGGAAGAACGGCCCTTTTGTTGGACTCGAACGTTGCAGTCAGAGCCATTGCAAAAGGAAGATCATCTGCACGAGCTTTGGGGGCCTTGCTCCGGAAAATAGCCTGCGTCTCCTTGGCTTTTTCTGTCTTCCTCTCTGTACTCTTCTGTCCTACCAGACTGAACTGCGCTGACGACCCAACTCGATCAGTGCCACTGCGATTCAGGCGAGAGGGCCAAAGCTTTCTGCAGGTTTTGGACTTTGATGGACTTTTCAACCTTGCAGAACTCCCTAGGCAGCGAAGGTGGATTTCTAATTGGGTGAGCCTTTTCCTTGGCCTCTGCTCCAGCCATGCTCTTCGCTTGGGGTCATTGCAGTGTTTTCATCCACGCTTCAGGTCACCTCTCCCTCCTGTGGATTTCTACCATCACATCTTGGACTTTGACTCCACTTTGGGTTTCCCTGGTGAAGGTCCCAATAGCCATGTAGGTAGTGCCCATGTTTTCCTTTTAATTTGCCTTGTAGTTTGCAGCCATGGAATGTTTCCTCGCAATGGAGACGACGTCAAGCGTGCCGAGCGAAGACTTGCTGCACCACTGCTTCCTGGCCGCCCTGTGAGGCATGCAACCCGGACAAACAGGGAGAAGCTCCTGGACAGTTTTCGGGAGTGGCTGAAGAAAAAGGGCTTTAGCCTTGATGTCTTGCTGTCTGCTGCGTATGCTGAGCCGGAGTCACTGGTGGTACACCTAGTTGATTTTGGGAAAGAGCAGTATGAAGCTGGATATCCCTACAATCACTTCGCAGAGACAATCAACGCCATTGGAGCTGCAAAGCCGACGGTGCGGAGGTTTCTCACAGCTGCTTGGGACCTGGCCTTCTCTTGGGTGCGCCAAGAGCCAGGGGAGCATCACACTGCATGCCCGTTTCAGATACTGCTGGCGCTTTTGAGTACAGCGATTTACTGGGGCTGGCCATCAATTGCAGGTGCAATAGCGCTCTCTTGGGGTGCGGTCTGCCGCATTGGTGAAGTTTTGCAAGCAGTCCGACGGGACCTGGTTATCCCAGCAGATGTGATGTTTTCAAGCACTGTCATTTACCTCAAGGTTCAAGAACCAAAGACGCGTTTTAAAGCTGCGCGGCATCAGATGAGTCGCCTTGACTACGAGGATCTTGTGCAGCTGGTTTCATGTGCTTTTGGTCACCTTGAGGCAGACAAAAAGCTTTGGCCTTTCTCAGGCCAATTGATGAGAACGCGTTTCCGACAGTTGCTGGCGGCAGTAGGTTTGCCCACCAAAACTCAAGGTCAAGGACGTCCTCTTGACCTTGGAAGTCTTAGAGCGGGTGGTGCAACCCATCTTTTGATGATCACGGAAGACTCAGAGCTGGTAAGAAGACGTGGCAGGTGGCTGGCCCATCGCACTATGGAAATATATCTGCAGGAGATTGGAGCTACTGTCATGTTTCCAAGCTTACCGGTTGGTGTGAAGACAAAGGTCATGCAGTTGGCCTATGCCTTTCCTGGTCTTTTAGAAAAGATGAGGAGATTTACTGCCGCTGGAATTCCAGAAACAGCCTGGTACCATTTACTACGGAGTGAACAGATGGGAAAGATGGGTACAATGCCTAGGGCTGCATCAGCCAAACATGCTGATGCCAGAGAAAACGACGCACAGAAGGCTGAGTGAAAGAGACGCAGAGCAACTGGCATTAGTTGTGAGGCTTTGTTTGAACGTGCCTGTGCTCAAGCTGCCCTTCCCAGCTTCGCATCCCCACCCTGGGTACAATGCCTAGGGCTGCATCCGCCAAACATGCTGATGCCAGAGAAAACGACGCACAGAAGGCTGAGTGAAAGAGACGCAGAGCAACTGTATACATTTATATATACGCATATTATATCTATATAGACATATAATATATTATAATATATAGTCTGTACATGGCTGTATGTATCCTGTATGTACGCGCAGATAATTGCGACAATCAGGTGCTTCTACAGGAGTTGATTACGTTGATTACTTGATTCTTCAAGTGTTTTGCAGCCGAGAATTTGTGATAGGTGATCCTTACCAAACTCTCAACAGTCGTCATCATGGAACATGATTCCGAATGATTCCGAATGAGTCCATGATCTTGATGCAGTGACTTATGGGTCAACCACGTTCTCATTCCCATAGCAGTCCTGCAGGTATCGGATGCATCCTTTGCTTTCAGCATTCCCGTCGGAGCAGTTCTATGATGGACAGCTTTCTGATGACAAGACGAAGACTCCTGTGCTTCGGACAAGACATACACAAAATTCTCGGGGGTGCTGCATCGCATCTGTAAACTGTAGATTTTTGATCTGCATTTCTTATGTCATGCTTGCGCAGCTCAGGCCACGAAAGCGAAAGCCTGGGTTTTCAAAGAGCCTCTGGTCGTGGCTCCCGTCTTTACTGCGGAAACTCCCAAAGGGACCAGCCACATGAACGAGGGTGAGGCTCAAACTTTGGCAACTCAGCGCAAAATCGCACTGTCAGAAAGACAATCAGAACGACAGGAACCAGCAAAAACTCAGGCAGAGATTACGGGAGATGCAGAATATCCTGTCATGATGCTGTATCTCGTGATTGCATTTGAGGTAAGCCATGCTATTCGTTATCTGCGAAATGGCGGTAAGGAGGAGAGTCTTGGCATCATCTCACCATACGACTCACAGGCGGGTGGAGTGTGTCCAGGACCGTTGTGTGCAAACCTGGGATCTAAGCTCTAAGACTCTAAGAGCAGATGAATGCAGAGCAGATGAATGCACTTTGTCGAAGCCATTCTTAAGATCTGTGCGGTTGGTTGCAAACAGCATGGGCTGACTCCATTGCATATTTTTTTTGAGGCCATGATCATTATTTGTGATCATCTACGATCATCCATGATTCAGTACATCCGAGTTTGCCAGACAAAGTTGATGCCTTGCAGGTGAAACTACTGCGTCGGATGCTGCAGAAACAAGGCGTCCGAACAGGTCTCCATGGTGTGGAGGTCAACTCGGTGGACGGCTTTCAAGGCCGTGAGAAGGAGGCGAGGCATAGACCAATACACTTTGTCGCAGGTCACAAAGATTTCACATGTAGAATCTTTGTTCAACCAACCCTTGCACCTTCAATCAAAGTCGGGAGCTGACGGGATACTCCCATGGAGCGTGATCACGTTGCCTGATGTGTCTGAGCCAACCTGATTCAACTTGAGACCATCTTATCTTCACTTCCCTCAGCACTTGTGCTTCCTACAACAGTTGCCACTGCAGAATTGCGAAGCAAATTTCTGCAGGTTATCATGATTTCCACAGTGAGATCGAACATAGAGAATGCCACGGGCTTCGTTCGCGACTGGCGCCGAATCAACGTCGCTATCACCCGTGCAAAGTGGCAGCCCCAATGCTGTTGGACCAATTGAAATGCATTGAAACACATTGGAACGAATGGAAACTTTGGCCAAACATGTGTAGAGGTTTGTGTCGAGGTTTGTGTCGACTACTATTTCGAAGCAAGCCCTCCTGCTGTGAGAGCAAGTAGAATTCGACGCCAGGTCAGGGCTGCTGGTTGTCTGTAACCCACAGACATTGGCGCGAGATCACGTCTCTTGGCTCCTCGGCTTCAAAAAGGTGCCGCGTCGTAGTCGGAGGATTTTCAGGTCCAAGCTCGTTTATTCATTCTTGTGTTTGCCAAGAATCGTTTAAGAAGTTCTGGTCAGTCTTTCTCAGGGCAGGGTTGGAAGACCAGAAGCTGAAAACCACAATGGCAAAGTCTCAAGCAATAACGATAGAATCTGATAGAGTAAGTCCAGTATGAATGGGATTGAACAGGATCCAATAGGTATCAATCAATAGGTATGAAGAGGATTTGGATATATTTGGATCGAGGAATGACCAAAGGACCTTTGGATCATTTTGGATCGACCTGACTGTATTCAATACGATGTTCAAGACATTTCCCTCTTGATTTCCGTAGCATTTGGAATCTCTTTCGAGCTCTTCACTGGGTCAGGCTTAACGACGAAGATGTGAAGCTGCCAGAATTGCGTATCGATTCGAAAAGGAAGGCATGTGGACTAAGTTCACTGCCAACGGAACCTCCTTCCCCATCCCGCTCCCGGTCGCCTCTGCCAAAATGGAAGAGGTGGTGATCGGAGCATCGAAGTATCGGTGCCGACATCGGCATAGTGTGCTGGGAGGAAACAGAAATCCCTCCTTGCGCTTCCTTGCGCTTCCTTGCGCTTCCTTGCGACTGTACTTAGAGATGCCAAGTTTCAAGGCACACTGTACATGTCGCAGCAGCTAGTTCCAGCTAGAAAAGCAGGCTGAGCGGAGGTTTTTTGATGTTGGTGGGAGTGCTGCGTGTGGATAAGACGGTCACAGAGAAATAGAAACAGAGTTTGGAAAGAGGGGGAAGAAGCATTGGGGAACAGTTGAAAATACTTAAGAGTGTGGATGGTGACAACTTGCGAGTGCCGATGTCACGTGGAGGTCGAAAGGTTGTTCACATGTGATCTATTTTCGCCATGAGGGCCATGGATTTCATCTGGTCTTTTTGCCGCAGTTTTGTGCCACACCACCGTGCTGCCTTTTGCCAGACTGTTCTGAAATGTACTGGAGAACATGTCAACGCGCACTGCAAGTTGAACAGATATGTTTTGATGAAGATTTTCTTGTGTAGCATCCGTCAGCAAAAATCGTCATTTTGACACTAAGTTGAAAGCAATGGTAAATTCCGCTGCCTGGAAAATGCCTTCAGAGAATTTATGAAGAGGCGTTGCCTGTGCAAAAATGTAGTGCCTCAGCACGAGTCGCCTTGGTCTTTACCTAGATATCCGTCAGAGGATGAAGGACATGCCCTTGTTGAACGAAAGTCTTGTTCGTCAGCGGCATATCCTTCATCCGCCGGATGATAGCGTCCTGCGCTGACGATTCAGATGTCCAGCACAAGACCAAGGCGCTAACTGTTTCTGGGATGCACAAAGAGCACATGTCCGAGTCAGACACACGAACTGTTACGTATTGATGACCAGAAAGCCGCCGACACGAGCTGGTTCCCCGAGCTCGGGTCGGGCACTTTCTGGTCGTCCAATATCTAACGGTTCGTGTGTCTGACTCGGATGTGCAGTGGAGAATGTGGCTGCGAAGTTGCTCGGGGTCAACAGCTTGGCCGACGTCAGCCACTTGCCTGTGATGGAGTTTCGCGCAATGTTGCACTTGATTTTGCACTGGTCTTTGTGTTACCACTTCTTCCCATTCTTTTCCATTCTTTTCCATTCTTTCCGATCCTTTCCGATTCTTTCCGATCCTTTCCGATTCTGTCCCATCGTTTCCCATTGTTTCCCATTCTTTCACATGTAGAATCTTTGTTCAACCAACCCTTGCACCTTCAATCAAAGTCGGGAGCTGACGGGATACTCCCATGGAGCGTGATCACGTTGCCTGATGTATTTGAGCCATCTTGATTCAACTTGAGACCATCTTATCTTCACTTCCCTCAGCACTTGTGCTTCCTACAACAGTTGCCACTGCAGAATTGCGAAGCCCATTTCTGCAGGTTATCATGATAAGCACAGTCAGATCGAACGTAGAGAATGCCACGGGCTTCGTTCGCGACTGGCGCCGAATCAACGTCGCTATCACCCGTGCAAAGTGGCAGCCCCAATGCTGTTGGACCAATTGAAACGCATTGAAACACATTGGAACGAATGGAAACTTTGGCCAAACATGTGTAGAGGTTTGTGTCGAGGTTTGTGTCGACTACTATTTCGAAGCAAGCTCTGCTGCTGTGAGAGCAAGTAGAATTCGACGCCAGGTCAGGGCTGCTGGTTGTCTGTAACCCACAGACATTGGCGCGAGATCACGTCTCTTGGCTCCTCGGCTTCAAAAAGGTGCCGCGTCGGAGTCGGAGGATTTTCAGGTCCAAGCTGCATTTTCGTTCCGTGGCAATCCGACAGTCTGACAGTTTGACATGTTGGTTCTTGGTTTCTCGGTCAGGTTACCATGGCTGTACTGGTCCAGATGGCGCGGTCTCTGGCTTCTCGCACTGAACATAGAAATACGTAAAAATACTAGGATCGTATCGTCTCGTATTATTCATTCTTGTGTTTGCCAAGAATCGTTGAAGAAGTTCTGGTCAGTCTTTCTCAGGGCAGGGTTGGAAGACCAGAAGCTGAAAACCACAATGGCAAAGTCTCAAGCAATAACGATAGAATCTGATAGAGTAAGTCCAGTATGAATGGGATTGAACAGGATCGAATAGGTATCAATCAATAGGTATGAAGAGGATTTGGATATATTTGGATCGAGGAATGACCAAGAGACCTTTGGATCATTTTGGATCTACCTGACGGTATTCAATATGATGTTGAAGACATTTCGCTTTGATTTCCGTAGCATTTGGAATCTCTTTCGAGCTGTTCACTGGGCCAAGCTTAACGACGAGGATGTGCAGCTTCCAGAGCTGCGCATCGACGCCAAAAGGAAAGCCTGCGGCCTGCAAGCTTTCCTCTTGGCGTCGATGCGCAGGTTTTCAGATGTTGATGTAGTGCTGCATAGCAACTGACGTGACTTCTGTGGAGAAGACCGTTGAAGAGAAATTATCACTGCGCACCATGGAAACAGAGCTTCGAAGGGTGGGAACAGAAGCATCTTAGAACAGTTGAAAATACTTGAGAGTGTGAATGGTGACAACTTGTCAAAAGCCAATCATATCCACAACACTTGCTGAGTTTCTTCAAGTGCTCGGCGTTCCTTTTGAAGTGCGGATGCCACGTGGAGGTTGAAAGGGTTGATCACATGTCGTGACCTATTTTTCTCACTGGAGCAGTGGTTTCCATCTGTTCTTTTTGCTGTACTTTCGTGTCCCAGCCCAAACACCGTGGCGCCTTTTGCCATATTAGGTGCTTTTGTAGGCTGTTCTGGAGAACACTGCAAGTTGAACATCTATGACATGATGAACACTTTTGTCTGTGAAGGGCGTTGCCTGTGCAAAATGTAGTGCCTTAGCACGAGTCGCCTGGCTCTTTTGCTACAGAAGTGACGCTATCCGTCGCAGGATGAAGGATATGCCCCTGTTGAACGAAAGTTTCGCCGATCTGACTAGATTCGTAAAGCTTTCGTTCAGTAAAGGCGTATCCTTCATCCGGCGAAGGATAGTGTCCTGCGCTGACGCTTCAGATGTCCAGCACAAGACCAAGGCGCTTACTGTTTCTGGGATGCACAAAGACACACGAACTGTTAGGTATTGGATGACCAGAAAGCGCCCGACCCAAGCTGGTTGAAACCGTTGTGGAGAGCTGCGAAGTTGCTCAGGGTCACCAGCTTGGCGAACGTCAGCCACTTGCTCATGATGGAGTTTTCCAAAATTTTATGCTGGATTTTGTGCAATTGCCGCAGGCTTTGTCAGGGCCAGACAGTGTCTTGACCAAAATGGATCTGAATCGTTTAAGTTCAGCTATGGCCAGTGTGTGATGTGTTATGATATCTGACGATGTGAGTGTATGAATACAACAAAAGCTTTCATGTTGAAAGCTAGATTCCCTACTGGGCTGAGCGTTTCATTCGCAAGTCCCAGTCATGCCAAGCTTGCATGCCCAACAGAGTCACTGCTTGCCGTCCGAAACGATTTCGTGAGATGATTTCAAGACCCTTTGGAGTGGCAAGTTATGCATTTGTCGCCTTGGCTCATTAGCTGAACAGGTTTGAACTTCAAACTTGTCGAGCAACAAAGTTTCTGAGTACTGTCAGTAGATAGTTGGTTCAGCACATTCAGGCCATGTCATGTAGGTGTGATCTTCTTTCTTTACGGCAACAATCTTCCGGCTGCACTGCCGCTGCAGCTAGCTGCTGTGCCGTGATGGCAGTGAACTATGCTGCTAAAAGAAAGGCTCCGACGCCACTGGAGTGGCAGCGAAAGCAAAAGTCTTTGAACTTCAAAGACTTACGCTTTTGCTGCCACTCCAGTGGCGTCGGAGACAGTCTTTGAAGACCTGGGAACAGGACTTCCCACCCAGGCGCGAAGAAACTAGGGAAGAGATGGGTAAGATACATTAAAATAGCAAACGACAACAAACTAAGACTTGAGGTGCTGAGGTAGGGACGATGTATCCGATGTGGACTAGAACACGGGAAATCAATCTTGGAATGAGAATCTTCCCCGTTGTGTACGTCGATTATTGGAGTACAATGGAGTACAAGGCATCCAGCTTTTGCTTATCAGGGAGAGTTTCTTGTTATTCTTGTTGATTGAGGCATTGAGGTTTTCTCTTCAGGTCTAAGAGTCTTATTCGCTCAGCAGTGTGAGGTCACGGCTCTATATGGACCAGGAAGATTTTGGGCCGACCCAGCCGACTCGAACGTCTAAACGTTCACAAGACAACGGCAGGGACAAGGGCCACAAGCAGCTTAAGCATCTGCTTAAGCTGCTTGTGGCCCTTGTCCCTGCCGTTGTCTAACTTGGCTTACTTGAACTTTTCTTTTCTTGGCAAGAGCTTTGGTGTTTGTGTTGGCTTCTGCCACCGTCTTGTTTCGACTTGACCATACTTGGCCCACTTTGAAGCCCCTTCCAAGGAGAAGGAGCGGCAAGCCACCTATGGCCACCGCAAGCCCAAAGGCTCTGTGGGAAAAATCCTGGTCGAGAAGTCCTTAATGGAGAAGGGGAAGTCGAAACCTGGATCTGGGGAGCGTCGGGAGAAGGAGCTGAAGGTTGCGGAGCCAAAGGACTTCGATCAAGTCCTGAGGAGCTTTTCCGACAAATCGCTGGAAGATTTGATGTCGGAAGGCCGCTTTGACGACCTTCGAGCTGTTTGCTCGGCGGTCGCCAGCTTTTGCCCGATCCCGCACATGCATCTCCTACAGACCCTGCCACTCGCAAGAGGACTGGCTCATCACTTTGTCCCAAAACCTTTTTCAGACATTCCATCACCCGTCATCCCGACTTATAGACTTAAAGCCACCAAAGTTCAGATATAGAGTTCAGCTGGAGAACCCCAAAGTGGTATTTTCTACTCGTTTCACAACATCTATACTCCAAGCCTACCCAATGAAAACTCAGTCCACCCAAGGTCGAAGATTCCACAGGGGAAGAACACCTTCGACGCGGAGAGCTGCCTCGATACCATGATCGGGGCGGTTGAGTGAGGAACCGGGAATCCCTCCGCAACTTCCGCCGGCTGCTCTATCCCATCGTGGATACCTTCCTGGAGGAGTCACAGGACGACCGGCACCAACTGCACCACATCAGGGTCACCAAACATCTCTGAAACGTAGCTGGAACATGCCTGGAGAGAATTTGTGAAGAGGCGTTGCCTGTGCAAAAATGTAGTGACATAGCGCATGCTGCATAGCATACATGGCCTCTATTTGCAAGTACCTCGACAATCTAGTTGAATCGCCCCAGTCTTTTGCTAGAGAATTGAATTGCCATAGCATACATCGCTCATGCTTGCAAGTGCCTCAGCGCGAGTCGCCTTGGTCAGAGAACTGAATCGTCGGCGCAGGACGCTATCCTTCGTCGCATGAAGGATATTCCTTTGATGAATGAGAGCTTTACGAACCTCACGTTCACCAAGGCTGGCGTAGAGGGTGTTGAGCAAAGCGGCTATCAAGCGGCTGTCAGGCCTTGAGTTTTGCAGATTTTTCAATTGCTTTTGTGCGCTTTTGTCACCAAATGTTCAGCAGAATCTCTTAGTCATCCCTAATCCAGTTCTGTCAATCTGTCAATCACACTGTGGGTCTTGCCTGGTGTTTTCAAAGAGGGGCACGACAGGGCATGGTCGGTCCAATGAAAATCCACAAAGTTTGAAAGATACTGTAACGCAGACGCAAACCCGTGGTGTTATTGTGTTTTGTTGCTGTTGGAATCTGGGACCGTCCCAAACCTACCAAACAAAAGCTTGGACACGCTTGGATCTAGAAGCCTTCCAGAGGCATAGCGGCATAGGCAAGTTCTAGGTGCCCGACCTCCCTTTGTCCCTCAATAATCCTCAACCAATCTCAATAATTAATTGCTCTAAGAGTCGTTGCTGCATCAACCAAAGAGTGACAGGGCGATTACAACGGTGAATTGAAGCTGACGGAGGCGCTGGTTTGGATACTTGGCAAGTGCCAGTGCTTGGCGCAATCGGAAACAGTTTGAGGTGACACTGAGTCATTGGAACAGTGCAACCACTGTGAATCCTGTTTCTAAGGAGTGGAGAGGGGAGACCATTGGACGAGTCAGACACGGTTTGGCTGAGTCGAATGGAGTGGAATTCAGAATCTGGAAGCTTGGAGCAGATACAAGAGCCAAGTTTTTTTTTGGCAGATATGGAAGGCTGAAGATTTTCTGTCTCAGGAAGTTTCAGCCATTTGATGAGTTGTGAGGGGTGCTGACTTCGAATCTGAGGATTCATGCCCCTTTGCGAGTGTAGTGTGGTCAGCACCTCTCCGCTGGTGCTCAAGTACACTGCAAAGCAAAAGGAGCAACCGGTCATCCTCGCCGCACTGGCAGGGATTCCTTGTCGTATCGACAAGATGGCGACAAGAACCACATTTTCCAGGACTCTTTCAGCACTGCATTGCCTCTTGGTGCAAATTTTGGCAATTCGGATAATTTGGGACACTGGCACGACTCTGTCAGATTTGTTGCTGCTTTTAGCTTGATGATTTACCACCATGGGTTTAAATCAGTCTGAATCGGTATGAATCGCAACGTGCAGAGCGTGTCGAGCTGCCAAGCTGCAGGCATGATGGAGCCGCCACGGCGTGTGAAAAACAAAAAGTCGCAAAAAGAAGGAGTCCCAGATCGGTTGCCGATGAATTTCGCCCCTTCGGAAACTCTGAAGAGGCTCTTGATGTGCGAAGGAACAGGCAAACAGATGAGACTGTGTGCATCCGAGTATGTGCGTATCATGCCGGAGTTTGACGGCTCTGTTCGAGTGACCCGACTGACTAGACCGACGATACAACATACTTACTCATACTTGTCCATTTTGTTATATTTTGTTCATTTTCCAACATTCCACTTTCTTGAAACCCTGTTTAGATCTGTTCAGTTTGTCTTGTGGAGTTCAAGGCGGGAGGCCGTGTTCTTTTCGTGTGACCTGAGGCACACTTGCCCACGAGAAGGCTGAACAGAAGCCAGCAGGAAGCACTGGCCCAGGCGTCTGCCAACGCCTTAACCCTTATTCAGGGACCTCCAGGCGCACGTCACTGAATTCTGTCTCATGTCCCAAGATGTCCTTCATGCATTTTGCTTTTAACCTATGCAGAGTTTGCACGGAGCTTAAGTACCTCAAAAAAAAGCACCGCAAACAGTGTGAACTTCTACTTCTGCGCCGCTGCCCTTTTGAACCGCAGGCACAGGAAAGACAACCACCTGCGCCCAAATCCTCCGATATTGGGCCAAAGCATTTAAGCCCCCAAACAAGAACACCAGAGCCTCGGACATTGCATAGCTTTGCTGCTTCATGCTAGTTCTCTCTCTTCTCCATCCCTGTCTCTGTCTCCATCTCCATCCCCCTCCCTCTCTCCTCTCTCCTCTCTCCTCTCTCCTCTCTTCTCTCTTCTCTCTTCTCTCTTCTCTCTGCTCTCTGCCCTCTTCTCTCTTCTCTCTTCTCTCCTCTCTCTTATCTCTCTTCTCTCTCTTCTCTCTCTTATCTCTCTTCTCTCTCTTATCTCTCTTCTCTCTCTTCTCTCTCTTATCTCTCTTATCTCTCTTATCTCTCTTATCTCTCTTATCTCTCTTATCTCTCTTATCTCTCTTATCTCTCTTATCTCTCTTATCTCTCTTATCTCTCTTATCTCTCTTATCTCTCTTATCTCTCTTATCTCTCTTATCTCTCTTCTCTCTGCTCTCTTCTCTCTTCTCTCTTCTCTCTTCTCTCTTCTCTCTTCTCTCTTCTCTCTTCTCTCTTCTCTCTTCTCTCTTCTCTCTTCTCTCTTCTCTCTTCTCTCTTCTCTCTTCTCTCTTCTCCCTTCTCTCTTCTCTCGTCTCTCTTCTCTCTTCTCTCTTCTCTCTTCTCTCTTCTCTCTTCTCTCTTCTCTCTTCTCTCTTCTCTCTTCCCTCTTCCCTCTTCTCTCTTCTCTCTTCTCTCTTCTCTCTGCTCTCTGCTCTCTGCTCTCTGCTCTCTGCTCTCTTCTCTCTTCTCTCTTCTCTCTTCTCTCTTCTCTCTTCTCTCTTCTCTCTTCTCTCTTCTCTCTTCTCTCTTCGCCTTCTCTCTCTCTCTCTTGTAGTTGCATGGCATGGCTAATTGATTTTTTTTAGCACGGGGGCGATCAATCTGGACCGTCGTTCAAGGAGGTCTCCTGAGAGGTGAGGTATCTATGTCCCTTCTTTTTTTGAAAATTTGATGGATCTCACTGTGCAGCCCACAACCTAGAGATCAGGAATTTTGGCAACCAGTGGGTCCAACATCGCCGTGGACAATTTGGTGGAGGGCTTAGTGAAAGAGGGCATCAAAGTGGTGCGTGCCTTGGCGGAACTTTCGAAAGTTGCTCGAAAGGCATTCCGAAATCTTTCCAGTCTCAATCGATCAAAAAGTCAAAGGAATTGTTACACAACGAATGCATGTCCGAGTCAGACACACGAAGCGTTAGGTATCGGACGGCCGGAAAGTGCCCGGCCCGAGCTCTGGAATTCCTGCGTGGAGAATGTGGCTGCGAAGTTGCTCGGGGTCAACAGCTTAGCCGACGTCAGCCACTTGCCTGTGATGGAGTTTCGCGCAATTTTGCACTTGATTTTGCACTGGTTTTTGTTTTACCATTTCTTCCAAATTTCTTCCCATTTCTTCCCATTCTTTTCCATTCTTTTTTTCCATTCTTTTCTTTTCCATTCTTTCCGATCCTTTGCCATTCTGTCCCATCCTTTCCCATTGTTTCCCATTCTTTCCGATTCTTTTCTCATTTTTGCAATTCTTTCTACTAAGTTACTTCTTTTTCTCCCATTTCTTTCTTTCGTATTTCAAATTACTTCACGCCATTTCACATTATTTCAGCGTGTTTTTCAACGTGTTTTTGGTTTGTGACAGTCCCGCTGCTCAGTTTTCTTCTGGAGTTCCGAGTTCCGGTGAATTTTCAGATACAACCCCTGTGACATGCACCGCCCATCAATGTCGACGATGAGGCTCTCATGAACGGAGCAAAGCTTTGCATCGTGCTGTCCAAGAGGCTCAGGTGGTTTGTTGCACAGCCATCAGCGCTGGAAGCAGCATTCTGAAAGAGACCTCTTTTCCCTTGGTCGCCTGATCAAATTTCAACAAAAAACATCAAAAAACCAAAGAGGATTTGAGGATAATTTCTCAGAATGTGACAATGTGGCAAGTGATTCGTTTGCAGTTTTGGAGAACACTGCGAGGAAGTGCTTTCTTTTCTCGTGATTTTGCATCATAAGGTCCTGATTGATGAAGCTTCACAAGCGACGGAGACGGCAACATTGGTTCCAATTTGCCATGGCTGCAAGCAGTTGGTTCTTTGTGGAGATCACTGCCAACTTCCTCCCACAGTGAAAAGCGAGTCGCCCTACTCAGCAGGGCTTAAGATGTCCCTGTTCGAAAGGTTGGCCCTGTATGGTTTGCGGCCGATCATGTTGAACACGCAGTGCCTTGGAGCAGGCCATGTATACATTTCACATATTGGCAGATATGTAAATGTATACATTTATAATATACGTATATATTATATAAATAATATATATATATATATACATATACACAGTTAGATACGCATATTAGACATATCTAAGTAGAAATATTACGACCCCTATACCACCACTGTATATACTAGTATTAGCTCACTCCTCACTGTAACTATGATACCAACCATCTAAGTAGTTGTACAGTTACTTTAATGTAAATATCCCCAAGGTTAAAGCACAACCTAATGGGGTAGTTATAGCCTTGTTCATCCGGGGTTCATTAACGCCCGGTGAAGGCATGGCTCAAGTCGCGCACACAAAAGGCGCGCGCATGTATATCTGTGGGGCAGGGGAGATTAACTTGTTTGGTTTTGTGTTTTTCCCCCTGTTTCTCTGGTTATCAGCCGTATTGGCTTAGTGTTCTTTTGCTGGGAAAGTCTTAATCTCCCTTGTCGGTAACTTAGGCCCCACGCAACTTCGTTCACTATCCCATCTTTTTCGCTGATTTCCTGTTTCACATTTTTATGGTACCAGAGGGTCTGCAGGAAGGAGCTGCTTTGAGCGCTCCTGTACCGGTTGCTGACGGGAACCCGGAAGCAGAGGCGGAAGTTGCTGAAAGCACTGAAGTCGCTGTTGAAGGTAGTACTGGATTTAACTGGGCAGACGCCTCTGAAGACGCGCCCGAGCTGACAACTGGTTTTCAAGTGGGAGGGGCTGCTTCTAGCGCCCTAGAGGAAGACGCCGACGAGGACTTCGACATCTTAAAGTTTGACGCACTCTCCCTTCTTGATCCGAAGCCGGAAGAGGAAGTCACTGCTGAACAGTTGTTTGAAGCACTTGAGGCTGACGCCGATCCCACCGCCGAGCCAGCCGATCAGCCTGAGGCATCCGATCAAGTAGAAACTCGAAATTGACAACCCCGATAATCAAACTACAAAAGAAGAAGTTGATTTTTCTAACAATCCTGAACATCAAGAAACTAGTGCAGAGGTTCCAGACTCCGCTGCAGATCCGATTTCGGGAAGCTCTCCATCAGTTGTTGAGCCAGATCTTAATTCGACATTTGCTCCGGTATACGTCCAACACTTTGCAGGGGTAGCGGAAGAGGACGAAGTCCCACCGCCGCCAACATCTCCGTTTCTTGAGCAGGAAGGGGCTGCCGCAGGCGCCTCAACATCTGGACACGTCCAAACAGGCCATTCTCCTGCAGGGCCGTCCAGACCTCCCCGTGTGCGTGGTACTAGGGGCGGAAAGAAACCCCAAACTAAGAGGCTTATACAGCGTTGGCAATCTGACTTTGACGAGGTAGCTCAATTCCTTTGGGACGAGGCCGAATATTGGATTCGGTACATCCAGCACTCAGAAGCATCTTCTGAACTAATCTGGACCATCCGAGTCTTTAGAGTCCTCTATAGCCATTGTACGCTAAACCAACTCTTAGTCCATCTAGCTAATACCCATCAACCTTATAGAAACTGGGTTTTCTTCAACGGTTACCGCAGAGGTGAATTAAGTGAAGCTCCAGACATTGCTGCAAATACTGTCTTGCCTGATAGGGAACACATTAACTTGCAAGCATTCGGAGACCCTGATCCACCTAGGTCCGTTTGGGACGATTACGTTTCTTATAGGGGCCCCCAACAGCAGGGTAAGGCAAAGGCCAAAGCTAGTGTATTTGTCCAGAATACTGAACCACCTTCTGAACCCGAACAAGCTACTGCCTTAGGCACTGATCCAGCCGTGCGCAGGGACGTGAGTTCTTCTGAAGAAACCCACACACCATCTCCGCGTGGGCCGCCGAAGGCGAAGGCTAGACCAAAGGAACAGCCTAAAGCCCCACTGCAGCCGAAGCAGCCGGATCATCCACCACCGTGGACTCCTAGCCTTCGACCGGTAGAGCATCAAGCTGGGCCAAAGGTCACTCAGTCGGTAGCCAGTGTTCCACCGCCACGTAATACGGGAGGGGCTGCTGAAAAGCGCCCTAAGACTGAGGGACCAAAGCAATCATCCGAGCCAAAAGCATCCGGCGAAGCATCCGTGCCTGAGCCTCCAAAGCCTAAAGCATCGGACCCAAAAGTTGCTAAGTCCCCTAAAGATAATCCTTTAAAAAGATTAGGACCCGCACCTAACTATCCAGCACCTCCGGTGCCAGTACATCGAGATCATCACCAAACTTTAGGACCCCCTCCAAAGCAGCCTCCGAGAGCTGCGACACCGAGAGGAGATAGAGTAGCTACAGCAATCCCACCGCCCCCATCTCATCCGCCACCAACAGCAGCTGACTTGGATCAGGCGGAACGTGGAAGGCCACGTGAAAGAGCTGTTACAACTCCATCGGCCCGAGTAGTTAAAGGTGATAACATCGATAAGACCCCAGCGGCATCAGCGCCTGCAGCACCTAAGCCGGTGAGCCGTTCAAGATCCCGAATTCCGGCCACCCTCACCCCGAGGGCAGACGGCACTTTCGCCGATCAGGACACCGAAGTCTTAAGGCGTGCAAGGGGTGGTAACTTAGGTACCCCTAGTCTTAGTTCCCGACCAATAGCCCTTAGGCCCACTGACACTCAATATCCCCCAGTAGTAATCAACTCCGAGGGCACTTGGGTGAGAATCTCTAAGCCGCCAGGCGCTACAGGAAGGGAACCCACAACTGTCCCTGTTGCCATTCCAGGCACTGCTACATCGTCCGTCGACGCCCACGAACTTCCAGACGAAGTTTGGAGGGATCCGTCATTGGTAGGTAGCAACACTACATTGGTAACCTCCCATAATACCCAGGTAATCCCGATTTCAGAGCCTGAAGGCCTTGCCGTAACTTCAGAGCCTCCAGATTGGGTTGAAGAGGAAGAAGAAGCCACTGCTCCACCCCCTAAACGTAGGGCTATCGGCATCACAACATCCTCTGGGCGTAGGCAAGTTTACCAATCTCGACGTAGATCAATTCCTCAACCCGAACCAACATCAACTGCAGCCGCACCAGGTGGACCTCCATCGGAACCTGAAGCCCCGGACGAAGATCCTCAAGATCCTTCTGAACCCGGTGACGCCGAAGGCGAAGAGGAAGAGGACTTTTCATCTGATCCTCCAGAAGCCCCTCCAGAGGGCGAGGAAGAGGTTGAAGTTGAGGTTGAAGTTGAGGAAGGGGCTGCTCCAGAAGCGCCTCAGGAATTCAGCACCGTTTCACAAGCATCTCCAAGAGCTCCAACTGCTAGAGGTAGTGTTAGTGAGTTTTTGCCAGCAGCTGCAACAAGTGCTGAACGTTCCAGATCACGTCGTAGGGACGCACCACAAGAAGAAGAGGCTCCAGTCGCCGTTACAACTTCTTCCACAAGAGTATCAGGTACAATCCAAACGCAAATCTTCCGAGACGGCACCAAAGCCGAAGTTTTTGTTCCTGATATTCCAACACCAAAGACTCCTCCAAAATCCATAGGTTCGCCGCCGCCTAGATCATCATCACAGCCAGCTAAGTCTAAGCCACCTCCACCCGGAGTAAGTGCAGTTAGTAGGTCTACGTCAGTTCCACCTTGGCGGGAAGGGGCTGCACGTGCGCCTCAAGCAGGGGGACCTCCTATCAAAAAGAAATATAAGGCTCCTCCTAGACCGCCATATAATCTTTCTGTCACTGCCGGCCAAGCTTACGAACCAGGTGTTGATCCAGATCCGCCGCTGCCGACGGAAGAGGAACTCAACGCGGCGTGGGCCCGCTCCAAGGAGCGTCAAGACAAGGCGTGGGAGTGCCACGTGGAAACTTTAGCTGATCGCCGACACCGACAGGCGATTGAAGCTTATAACCAATCGGAAAAACAGAAAAGGAAGCATAACAAGGTAAAACCTCCTGTTAAGCAGCCTCCGGTTGTAGTTCCACCAAGGCCAGAACGTCCTGCTCCAAAAGCCCATAAATCAGCGTCCCCAAAACCATCTCCACCCGCAACGCCAGTGTCGACACCTCCAACACCACCACCGCGACCACCAAAGGCGTCTTCTGCAGCAACAGCAACTGTCCCCCCAAGAGGCAAGGCAGGTGCTGCGATTCGCGCGCCAGGTGGTAGGTTAGATTTAGGCCCATTAATCCGAGCTCAGCAAGAGCGAAGTGCCATTGGCCATAATCTAGTCGTGTTCTTTGACTGGCACGATACCCTCGACTGCGCCAGAAACGCCCTTAAGTTATTTGATCGTTCTATCTTGGATAAGTTCGTGAACTTAGTGCAGATCGCACAGGGCCGAATAGAATTCCATATCGTTTCCTTCAGCGGCGTTGCCCGCGGTCGGCAGACGGAAGAAGACGCAAATAACCTTGCGGAGTATTGTAGATCACAGGGTCTTCCGTTTAGATCAGTAACTGTGGTTAACGATCCAGTAGGTCCTGGTGGTAAGACACCTGTTCTAACATCTAGCGGCGCCAACATACACATTGACGACCGCCAAGACGTTTGTGACGAAGCTGCACGTGCCAACATTTACACTATCAGCGCATATAAGTCTAGTACTTTGAGTTGGTGGCCCCAGTTGGAAAGTGCAATCCGTGACAACGGGGTGGATTACTTTTTGCGGAATCACGCACCGGTGCCCTTGAGGGGAGATCAATTCTCTCGCCGTAGGAATTAGCTTTCTTGTGGCCTAAACTTCACCGGCATCCAAAGCAGACATCACCGAGCGAATTGGTAGGGGCTTGAGCATAAAATCTAAAACCAAACAAATAGCTCGCCCTTGTACAGTTTTGCCTGTCTGTGTCTTTTCGTTTCGCCTGAGGTTGTGCCATCTGCACACCCAGTACCGCGTCTCTTTCGGCACAACCGTGCCCTTTGGTCGTCCGTGTCCTTGTTTTTGTTGTTTCACTGGGAGGTGCTTGAGCATCTGCTCGCGCCAGGACCCATTCGTGCTGGTCCCTTGGTAAAAGATGCAGTCTGGATTAACTCCACCAAGTGAGAGTTCAGGTGCAGATAGGTCTAGGAGTTCTCCA